GCTGGCTTGGCCGCGTTGTCTTCCATTTTTATTTGACTTTTCTGCGAGGATGCTGGCGGTGCCGGGGCGGTGCCGCCTCTCGGAAGCCCCATCGCCAGCCGCCTTAAACTGTGCTGTGATTGGCGCCATCAGACGCCGGCACGGGGAGATTTCTCTTTCTGCCTTCTCCGGCTGCACGCGCCCCGCGGGGCCCGGCCAGCCCGGCCGGCCCGGGCGCCACGAAAAAGGGAAAAAAAGAAACGAAAATGGAAACGCGAGTACCTCACAATTATAAGAAATTTTACACATTAAAAAAAAACAGATAAAAAACTTATTTTGTTTTTTAACAAAAAAAAAAAACTCTATGAAAGAAAGGTGATAATGTGTTTTCAGTTTCCTTCTAGCGCCATAAGGTCAAAATTGTCATAGTCAATCGTCTGCTTTCAAAAAAAAAAATATATTCAAAATATTGTTTAAGAAATGAAAAATATGGCATCATGACTAGTGTCGGCCTCACGGCGCGCACGGCCGCTCGCGCAGGGACACGCGAGGCATCGTTAATTCACCGTGGCACGGCACTGCCACGGCACTGCCATGAACATAATGCTTAATTGCTGCGCCGGGCCGCAAGGCGCTCCACTTATTTTAGAGCGAACAACGCGGCGTAAACTGCGGCCCGCTCCTCCCGGCAGTCCGTCCGCGGCCAGCACAGTGGGCCAGAAGACCGGCGCAGGCGGCCAAAACTCCAGACGCGTTTTGAGCTCCAGAGTCGCCAAATGGGGCTCGAAGCGAACGTGTGACCCCACCAATGGATTGCTCTCCGAACGAGGAATCCATCGGTGACTACTCTAGTGTTCGCCTTGGGCGAACTTTTCCTTCTCGATTCCAGTCGTCCATGCGGGGCCGAAACGTCCCGCTCCTTTTCGCAGTGTGTGTGGACAGCCTTGACCTGGACGGTGCACCTGCTACGGCCACTGCGGGCCACTGCCGCCACTGCCATGCCGCCGCCCCAGTATTTCATAACTCGAAATCACTTTGGGCCGTTCGGCCGTTCGGGGCGGCGCGCGCGCTGACGCCGCCGAGCCAGCGGCACCGCGGAGATAAAAAAAGAAGAAGAAGAAGAAGAAGAAAAGAGGTCGTTAACGGGTCCGTGGTGTCATTTCAAGTTGGCCAACAGTCTGGAGCACATCGCGTTACGCGCTATGGCGGTGCGCACGCGTCTAGGGCCGGCAGTGCAGTGCGCACGGTGGCTTTGCCAGGAGACCGGTGCAGGCGGACAAAACTCTAGACGCGTTTTGAGCTCCAGAGTCGCTAAATGGCACTCTAACCGAACGTGTGACCCCACCAACGGATTCGTCGTTCGGCGAGCAATCCATTGATGGGGTCACACGTTCGGTTCGAGTCCCATTCAGCGACTCTGGAGCTCAAAACGCGTCTTGACCGCCCCGTGCGTCCGTGGGGTCCGCAACCACACTGGAACGCGCAATGCAGCGATCGCGCTTATCGCCCCACTGGAAGTGCCGCCTGGGGGGGAGGGGGGGGGGGGGCAATGGTCACACCTCTGCGATTCGGCCGATGGGGCCGAACAGACAATGCCTCCTTCGCCTCGCCGCGCCGACGGCCGCCGACAATGGCCACTAACAAGTTTATTTCCTCAGTGTCTCTCCCGCCCGGCAGTATCCGCCGTTGCATGCCTCCGGCTCAGCGGGTTGCCTACCTCAGCGGGCCGTTCACCCACTGAAAGCCGATCCACGCAGAACCCCTCCGCGAGGCTAGGCAGCGCTACGCGGCCGAACCTTGCCTGCTCTTCACTCATCCTCAGCTTGGACGTGAGCCAGTGTGCCAGTCAGCGAGCGCGGGGAGCCGACTCCCTCTCTGCTCCCCTTTTCCTCAAACAACAACAACAACAAGGTCTAGATAGACCTTGGCCAACCCGGATTGGCGCGCCGGGCAGCCTGGGCGCAGCCTGGGCGCCCTACCGTCGTCGGAGAGGCAGTGTGCCTCGCAGTGCCTCGCAGTGCCGCCAACCATGCGCCAACCAAACGACCCCTCGCGCCAATTTTACGACCTCGCAGGATTACCAACTGCCATAGGGACAGTGCGAAATGACAGGTGCAGTCCAGAGCAAGGAGCGGACGACAGACAGACAGACAGACAGACAGACAGACAGACAGACAGACGGACAGACAGACAGACAGACAGCAAGAGGGATGGACAGACGTGTCCCGAGCTCGTTATTGAGCGACACTGCACTGCAGGCTGGTTGGTTGCACTGCAGGGCGCGCCGATGCATATGCACTGAAGGGCAGCAGCAGGCTTGCCAGCACACTGCCAGCAAGCGAGCGCGCATTCCCGTGCAATAATTTACCGCGTCAGCAACAATAACAACAGCAATAACAAAGCCGCTGTTTCATTGGTGAGTTGCGGCCAGCCACCGTCCCGGCTCCAGGCTTGCTCTCCAGGCGAGCCTTGACACGATGGCACCCGTTCACATTTTTCGGTTTGATGTTTGTCTGATTTGAGCAAAGAAGTTGTACTTGTAGCATTTGATTCTCAATCACTTTTTTTTGCACTCAGGAATGTGGCGGTGCGCCCCACCGTTCCCTATGTCGACACGAGCCGCCCGGTCCCACACGGACAGACGGACGGACGGACGGACGGACAGACGGACAGACAGGCATACGCATGGGTCGCTGTGACGAGTGTGCGAGATGAACCCCAAACGATATGCCCACTCACTCACACACACTGGCACTCACACACACACAGACACGCACTCACACGCACGCAGGTCCCGCTGTCATGATGATATCGTAGCGAACGAGGCCTCCTAAAGTGCCCCCGCTGTGTGCCCCCCCCCCCAAAAAAAAAAAAAACTTTGCCAAAATAAACGCTGAACGGCCGATCGACATCGGCAAACTTTCCTCTGCATGTTAATTTCCAGCGTGGTGGCCGTTTCGACCGATCGATTATCCCAAAGTCGCTCCAATCCAATCGAATCGAATCGAATCGAATCCAGCGGACAGGGGTAGACACACGGCATCGGCACGTGGCAGGCCTGGAAGGTGAGAACTACTGCACCGCACCAGGCGTTCCTTTTGCTCTGCCTCTCTTGCCAACACCAAAACGGACTTGTGTTTCTTTTCCCCGTGAAGGAGGACCAGGCAGCTGACTTGACCAGTCCGGCCAGGCCGATGTGGTATGGGGGCGGCGTGGGGCGGCGTGGGGCGGGGGGCGGCGTGGGGCGGTGCGGAGTCCACGAACGCACCGGTTTGGAGTAACTTTCGCTCTTCGCCTGGCCAGCCTGGCCATGGCGCTGCCCGGCCCGCCCGCCGCTACCAACTTGACAAAATCCAAAGCGGAAACCGGCGGAAACGTTTTGGCGTTGGGTTGGCGGACGTGGAAGGCTCTCTCCCGCACCCTCACGGCTCACGGAGAGTCTAGAGTTTTGTCCACCGCCACCGGTCTTCTGGCAAATCCACTGTGGCACGCGCTCCCCGCATCAATCTGCCGTTTCCGCGAAAGAGTGCAACGCGTGTCTGAGAGAGACAAAGGCATGGCAGTGGGGTGGCGCCTCTGGAGGCTTAGTCATCCACCGCAAGATCAAGGCCCTGCCGTCTCCGTGGCGGCGCGAGAGAGACACACTGCTAGCTCCCAGTCATGAGTCCCAGTGCTGCGGTGGGGACCGGCGGGGACCGGCGGGGGCCGCGCTGGAGCGACCAGCACTGAAAGGGGCCGAGCGGGGCGGGGCGCAGTACGTAGTCCTCAAAACAAGTCCTCAAAAACGCATTCAGTAAAACACTTAAAGTTGCCGATGGATTGACGAGGTCTGCGGACAGAGCTTCCGACGCCCATGGTTGACGTTGGAACCCATGCCTTCGGCTCTCAGCGACTCCACGGCGCTGACAGTGCCGCGGCGTCCACCACAATGGGGTACTGCTTCGTCAGAAACTTAAACGCAAGCGCAGGCAACCAGTTCCGGCACACTGCAGACGCATTCCGGAAGGTCGCCTCGTCGATCTGTCTCTGTCGTGTGACCCCACCAATGGATTCCTCCTTCGGAGAGCAATCCATTGGTGGGGTCACACGTTCGGTTCGAGTCCCATTTAGCGACTCAGGAGCTCAAACCGCGTTCAGAGTTTTGGCCGCCTCCACCGGCCTTCTGGCCCACTGTGGGCCGCCCAGCCCGCCGCAAGTTTGAATAACATCGTCGGGCCGGGGGCGGGCAGGGGGCGGGGGGCGGGCAGGTGGGTGTGAGCAGGGTAGCCATGGCAACCGGGGGACTCCCTGTGGGAGGGGGAGGGGGATCTCCTCACGATGTTGCCTCATCCCGGCAGGTATCGGGACGCACCTGATGCGTGTCCCGGAGGGAGAGGGGAGGAGACTCTCTCTCTCACACACTCGCACTCCCCGTACCCGTCTCTCTCGCACGCACCAGGCCGAGTAAGAGGCGTCTGGGCCTCAAGAATGCGAGTCCAGGACAGTCCAGGCGTGTGCAGATACTCCCGGCTGAAAGCGCGAGACAGTACCAACGCACTGCTGGTGAAGGGGCTCTGCGGACAGTCGTCACGCTGTCACGCGTGGTCACGCGTCGTCACACACGGCGAAAGGGCCGCGACGCCCAGTGGGCCAGAAGACCGGTGGAGGCGGCCAAACCCCCGGACGCGTTTTGAGCTCCAGAGTCGCTAAATGGGACTCAAACCGAACGTGTGACCCCACCAATGGATTGCTCTCCGGACGAGGAATCCATTGGTGGGGTCACACGTTCGGCTCGAGTCCTGTTTAGCGACCCTGGACCTCAAAACGCGTCCGGGATTTTGACCGCCTCCACCGGTCTTCTGGCCCACTGTGCGACGTCGCAAGCCGTCGTTGGGGCAGGTCGGGCTGCACACAGTGGCGTGGCAAGCAGTGCCAAGCAGTGCGAGGTTGCCACCGCCAAGAGGTAACCAAGAGACGAGGGGCAGCCGCAGGGGAACCAACAGGTAACCACGGGACAGCCAAGGGCCAACCAAGGGCCATACCTGTCAGTCGACCGTCGATCGACGTGGGCGAAGACTGCGGCGCCGAACGGATATCCAACAACACTGCAGCACAAGCACCACCACAAGCACTGGACACTGTCACACACAGGCACTTGGTCACGGGACCCACGGGAACGGACGGCACGCCACTGCAAATGGCGGAGGATGCAGCAAAGGCACTGCGCGGCCAGGGGCGTCGCGTCGTTGCGTCACGGCGTCGCAGGGCAGGGCTCGCCAGGTACTGAGCACCTCAAGCGGGCGGCCGCGGCAGACCGCGGACCGCGGACGGGCCGAGCCGAGCCGCCCCCACCCCGCCGCAGCCCGGTTGGGCCCCGCCTCGCCCCGCCTCGCCCCGCCTCCTTCCAGATTCACGATTTCTCCTTGGCCGAGCCCGAGCCGCCGCAGCGGGGCGCCGGCGGCGCGCTCTCGCGGCCGTCGCTGCAAGCGGCTTGGCGGCTCGGCGGCGCGGCGCGGCGGCACGGGCCTAGATGCCTAGATGCAACCGCTGCCGCTCCGGCCTCTCCGCTCCGGCCGCTCCATGCCGCCGCTGCACCTCAAGTGGCAGTGATTGGATGGGCTATCTGATTGGACGTCCGTCTTACTACCGGCTCGCAGAAGAAACAGCAAAAATTAGCTCGCCGCCTCGCCGCCGCCGCTGCACTGGCAGCACTGCGGGGGAATGCCCCGGACGACGGCGTGGCGCCGCGTCGCGTCGCGATGCGGATTTGTGGATTCGCAGACGGCCGCGACGGGAGAATGCAGAGTCGCCGCGTCGACTTGAAAGCGCGGCAGGGCTGCTGCAGGGCGACTCTAACAAGCGACTTTGGCGCATTATTCCTGAAGGGCTGCGCACGCTGTGCCGGTGTGCCATGCCTGCGGGTTGCAGTGTGACCGGCCAAACACACAGTGGGCCAGAGGACCGGTGGAGGCGGCCAAAACTCTTGACGCGTTTTGAGCTCCAGAGTCGCTAAACAGGACTCAAACCGAACGTGTGGCCCCACCAATGAATTGCTCTCCGAACGAGGAAATTATTGGTGGGGTCACACGTTCGGTTCGAGTCTAGCTACTCTGGAGCTCAAAACGCGTCTAGGGTTCTGGCCGCCTCCGGCCCACAGTGGAACGGTCCGGCTCACTGTATATCCAAACCAGGGTGAATCCGCCTCGGTTAAAACATCGAGGAAGAAGATCCGAGCGGAGCGCTGGGAACGCATATCATGAGCAGCGCGGTCGTTTGATTCCGAACGGCGCTGCGACGTTCTGTCTCTCTCGCACCCCTGCGGCTTGCCTGCGGCTTGCCCGCGGGCCACGGCAGTGCGAGAGAGACAGCGCGGGCAGTGCCGCGGCGCTGCGGCCTGCCGACTGCAGCATCATCGTGATGCACTCTGCGGCCCGTTGCTGCGGCCGCGTGGAGCTACTTGTCTGCTTGTACTCGAGGGAGAGAGAGAGAGGGAGATCCGATGATGACGTCTCATTAATGCCAACCCCTGGCGACCACCCACGCGGCCCTCCGGCGCGGTGCAGCGAGGCAATGCGTGCGTTCTGCGTTGGCAGCCCTGTTTCTCTCCGGTATCAGGGCTCGAATCAAACTCGCAGTGGCTGCCCTTCGAGGAATACGTTGGTGCCGCATGTTTGGTCGCAGAGCGACGCAAGCACTGACGGGTAAGTGTGTTTCTCTGTTTGAGTCTCCGCGAAGACGCCGCGTCGCCCGGCCAAATTGGCGCCCGGCCCGACTCGGCCCGACTGCACAATGCCGCATTCAATTTCACAAGTCCGTGGAAAACTGCGGACCGTGCGGACCGCACCGCGGCACCGCCGAGGCGGGATTGTGTGAGCATGGTCTGCGCCGCGGCACAGTCATCGCCTCCGGTCTCCGCGGATCGCCCCACGACCCCACGCCCCCGCGTCGCAAGACAAGACCGCACCGCCGCACGCGTCGCCGAAACGCCTCACCAGGCCCGGGTTCGAACACCGCCAGTGTTGCCACACAAACGGGCTGGAATTCCCTAATGCAAGGGTTGGCAGTGCTCGGCCTGGCACTACTTGACCGGAACGCGGAGCACCGCGCCAAGGTGGCGCTGAGGCGGGGCGTCTGTGCCGCCAAAAGGTGAACCGACAGCCTTCACCGAGTCTCATCGCCGTCGCTGTCTCTGTCGCACTCCTGGGGCACTGCGGCACTGCGCGGGGGTGCGAGAGAGACAGAGCGACGACCTGCAGCGTCAGCGCAGACATTCCGTCAGGCCTGGTCAGGCTCGGCGAGCCCCGAGCCGCACCAGCCGCACAGCGCACCGCGAGGCGTGCAGGCCGTGCCATTTCGTGCATTCCCCCTCAAGGACGCGGAGCGGAGGCCCTCCGCTGGCACTGCGCTCACTCCGTGACCTCTACCCGCCGCCCCTCGTTCGGAGAGCAATCCATTGGTGGGGTCACACGTTCGGTTCTCGTCCCATTTAGCGACTCTGGAGCTCAAAACGCGTCTAGAGTTTCGGCCGCCTCCGCCGGTCTTCTGGCCCACTGCGTGCCCCCGTTGCGGTGCCGAGCCATGGCCGAGCACAACGAGATCGTTAGGGTTCCGGTCCGGGTCCAGTGCGGCTGCGGCCCGTTGGAGTTGGAGAAGCGATTCGCCTCGGTGCACCGCGGTGGTCGTGTCTAGTTTGTGTCATTCCCCCTTTCTGCGCACCTGGCCGTGTGGCTCGCCTAGTGGTCTAGCCCTTAATGGTAATGGTAATAGTGGCTCGCCTGCCTCGTACTCCGCCCGGCGGCAGGCGACCCAACCGACACGCACGCCGTGGGGGCACACCACCAACCGGGCGGCCGCACGCTCACGCTGCTTCGTACCCTGGCGAGCTTTTCCTTTTCCTGCGCCGTGTTCTAGTCTGTCACCAGTACGTAGTGTTTGCGGACGATCCTCTCCTTGGTGAGACATCATGATCCGTCCTGTGAGCTCCACTGTTTGTTCTGACTTGGTTGCACATCATTTAGTTGCCTTTCTGACAGTGTATGAATCAATTTTAAGGAGCATTGACAACAATGATTTCATTCAGTCATCATCCATTGGTCTCTTTGAAAAGCAAGTGTCTCCACGCCGTTTTGAAAATTAAATTGAGGAGCTTCCAAGTAGAGAAAGTCCATTTCCTACCACCGCCATGTGATCAATGAGGTGACAAGGGAGAGAAACAGAAGTCCTGGGCTGGTTTTGTTTAAATTTTATTATACAAGATATTACTGAGGCGGCCTCTGTCCTCTTCCGAAACCACCACGGAATTCAACCTCGCCAGTGCCGGCACCGACATCAGCCTTCTTGTCTGGACCGCCAGCGGCGCCGGGAGTCCGCCGGTACGCCTCGCGGTCGGCAGCGGGCTTGGAGCCCTCCGAGCGGGGAGCGGAGGTGCGGGGCCTCACGGGCTCGGGCCTGCTCTGGCGCTTCAGGGTGGAGGGCACGATCTGCGGAACGACGAGGAAAAGCAATGTCAACAACCGCCCACATCTGCGCTCACAGTGCACAGACCGGCGGAGGCGGCCGAAACTCTAGACTCGTTTCGAGCTCCAGAGTCACTAAGCAGGACTCGAATCGAACGTGTGACCCCACCAATGGATTTGTCGTTCGGAGAGCAATCCATTGGTGGGGTCACACGACCGGTTTGAGTCCCATCTAGTGACTCAGGAGCTCAAAACGCGTCTCAAGTTTTGGCCGCCTCAACCAGACCCAACTAGACTGGATCCCCAATCACTCAAATTCAAAGTGAAGTTATGTTTGATAGGTTTGGAAATATTAAAGTAACCCATCATGTCAAACTGGATTGATGCATGATCATAAGAGGATGAAGAGGCCTCTTAACTAATAGGAAGGCAGTCCATGCAACTTTCACAAATTTTTAAGAACATGAAACTAAAATCACAGACGACTCACTGTACAATAGCGTCCAATTGAAATCAACTCAAATAATTAGGATTCTAGCAGTTACCGCAGATCTGACAGCAGACTGCATAATGGCATTATATCCCACAACGTGGAAATCAGTAAAGAAATTCATGGGTCTCATTCTGACAAGCACTAACCAGAATGGAAAATCAAATTCAAAGGTATTTTAAATGTGGATTTAATAAATTAACCAGAAAAGTACTCACCTCAGGGGGGAGGTGAAGGAAATCACGAAGATAACGAATTCCTTCATTTGTGAGATACCAGTAGTAGTGCCTCCATGCGAACTGCTCGTTGACATATCCACGGGACTTCAAACTCTGCAAATACACGGTGTGTCAGACAAATGCAAGCAACACAATTTTGAACAGGCAACTTGAGGGCACATAACACTAACCTGAAGAGCCTTGATGACATGTAAATTAGGGATGCCCAAGTCAGCCAGGTCGGGATGCTTCGGCTCATGGAAATCCTTCTTGGCCACCATGACTCCCTCTTTGAAGAGGTACTCATAGATGGCCACACGGTTCTTTTTGGGCATCAACATTCTGAAACAACACAAGACACATACATTACATGGTGTAAACAAACAACAGCAGAAGAAAAACCGGAGGACACACGTCTCGGGAACAAGCACGGAAGTTTGAAATAGCTACAGTGCCACAAATGATGGATAATAATTGACTTCAAACACACGTACAACAAATTAGAATGGCTTCTGAAGCTCACATAAAAATGATTACATCAACGGGGCACAAAGTTCTCGGACAGAGACGGCAAAGTAAAACTCGACAGTGAGGGACGTCGAAACGTAAACAAATGTGTCTAGCAGAGCTCGGCATGAACAAAATTGGTGGAGACAAAAAACAAGGGACCGGCCATAAGGGGAACCTAACCTCTAATTAGTAGTGTACTGAACACGGTAGCGGCAAGCCAGTGAACACTAAATCCGTAAACCAGACTTCGAAAAGTGCACCAAATCCAACAATACACAGGAGAAAAACTAAATACGCGGTCAGAATAAATGTACAGAGTTAAGTGTTGAAATAACCGCACGCCGCCCGCGTAGACACGTCGCTGAGCCAAAGCGCGACTTGGACCGGCAACTGACTTGAAAATACCCAAGTAATCGCAGTACCCTGGATAAATCCAAGGGCATCGAAAATCGGGGTGCCAGGGTATCGATACTTACGTGGTGAAATTTAAAATTTACTTAAGATGTAAAAGGATAACACTCACTTGATGGCTTGTGGTGGAACACGGATCAAGGAAGGTTCCTAGGGTAAAGAGGAAGAAAAACAACGCTCGTTCTTCTTCTTCCTTGCCTCTTGGTTGGGAGAGGAAGCCGAAAAGTTCGGCCAGTGTGCGACAAACTCCCCACGACGGGCTACACTAGTTTATTCGACAGGATCAGAGGTTCCTTCATCATACACATCGTCAAATCCCAAATGCATCATGCAAAGCTCAAAAGAGTGATATGTTTCAGTCAAATAGACCAAGCGGCTAAAAGCAGTGGGGTGATATTCTGTCGGTCAAGTTGGTAAGAGACCGATCAGCTGTCCCCTCCCCCTCCTACCTTCCTTCCCCTCTCCCACACCGCTCCTGTCAAATAGCAGAAACCGTCAGAAAGTTTTGAACTTACTTTTAATAACCATAATATTTACCTGTTGTTAACTGGCACTGAGTTACCTGTCCTATAATGGATAGATTTGAGTATGCCGATCCCCGGCCTGTTCAGAGCGAAGAGTTCTTAATGCGTGAAAATGGGGTTAAGCTGTATGATGGTGACAATAAAGTAATTAATAACTAATTTTAGTCATTTATAACTTAATTTTAGTAACATATTACTGTGACATTTTCTCATCACGTTCATCTAGCTACGATTTCTGTTCAAAATAGAAAGAATGAATGCTACCTTAATTTCCTCTGCTGTACTAATTGAAATCAATGTGTTAAACTTAACAGACCACCTTCGAAGGAGGAGAGGCTGTAGTGAGCAACACACGCATCCTGTGGGGCAGGCCCGGTGATATTCCACGAGGACAGACTTGCATTTGTTTGCCATTATTTTATGTTGTTTTCATCGAAGAAGAACAACGCACCTTTAGCTTCAGCAGTGCTCGTAAATTTGTTCTGCATCTTTCAGAACCACGTCAAGGTATAGTAATTAAACTGTATTGTTTTAAAATCATCGAAGTTAAAAAAAGGAAGGGTCCTTGTAAAAATTATTCACATAATTTGCAGGAAAAGCTCAAGGACCAGTCACCTGGAGCCAGTACAACTTTGTGAAATTGTCATTCAAGGAGGGCCTCCACCATGACTTCATGGCCATTCTTCAAAACGCATTAGTTATGCGAGCCTGGGAGAAGCTACAGCTTGGCCCAACACCAGCTACTGGTTCTCAAAGCATGGTACTGACATAAACAGAGGCATCTTTTCTAAATGGCACTGATAATTTGTGATAATCATGCACTCAGTCACTTCAATAACTTTTTGCAGGCCGACAGAAAGTGGAGAAGTGGCATTGTTGGCATAGAGAGAAAGATTGAAGAAAAGCACAAAGCTACAGATGAAAGTATATCGTTAGCCTTTCAAGACCTGAGTCGTTTGATGAACATGGCTAAGGATATGGTTGCCATTTCTCGCAGTATATCTACCAAAATTCGGGTTGGTTGCGGTACAGAGCACATGCTAAAAGAGAAATCCCATTTAACTCCTCAAAGTTTTCTTTTTTAATTTCAGGAAAAACAAGGCGACATTACAGAGGATGAAACAGTTCGTTTCAAGTCCTATTTGTTGAGTCTGGGTATTGATGATCCAGTTACAAGAGGTGCCTTTAGCAATCAAAACCAATATTTTCAGAGTCTTTCACGTCAACTAGCACAAATACTTGAAGAGCCAATCAAGGTACATCTCAGAGTCTTGTCCAAATCAAAATCAATGTAGCTTTGGGAAAATTCAAAATCACTTCTAATATGATTTTTGTAGGAAGTTGGAGGAATGATGTCCATGGCAGATGTGTACTGTCGAGTCAACAGGGCCCGTGGCCTTGAGTTACTGTCCCCAGAAGATTTAATGTCTGCTTGCCGCTTGATGTCCACCCTTCAACTTGGTCTCTGCCTAAGAACTTTTGATAGCGGAGCAACTGTTCTGCAGCTCAGCGATCATAACGACAGTATAATTGTAGAAAATACTGCAGCTTCAGTGAGTCAAAATTTACTACAATTACAAGCTGATCGTTTTTTCTTCTTCCTGTAAAGACTTAAACTGATTCCCTTATATTCTTGCAGCTTGAAGAACATGGATCTCTTTCAGCAACTGAACTAGCTAAAGTCTTAGGAATATCAGTTCTCCTAGCAAAAGAACGTCTTCTCACAACTGAAAAACAAGGCAAAGCCTGCAGAGATGAGAGCTTGGAGGGAGTTCGGTTTTATAGCAACCTTTTCCTTACAAGAGAAGAATAATAGCTTGATTTGTAACTTTGTTGTACAGGTACAGTACTCTAAGTGTTTTATCTTTCTTTTATAATAAATAATTATTGCATTTATGATATTAAGTGAGCAATAGTTTTATCAAAACACGCATATCTAAATTTTTTTTTCTCTTTTTAACATGGGTATGAGGGAAGAGAAAGGAAACGGAGATAAAGTTATGGTTTTCTTTATAACATTGAATCACAATACAGGATGAATTTTAACTAAATTTAAAACAGTTCAAATCATGCAAATTAGATCAGATATGTCTTATTATTTATGAGTGCCAGCAGGCTAAAATTAAAACAAAGAAAATCACAGTAAATTAAGAACACGTGAGAGTTACAAAACCCATATCAAACAACTCCCGTTCACAGCTCTTAACCAGTGCTTTATTTCTGTCACGGGTAACAGAGGAAAGGGCTGATTCAGAGTTTCTACATAAATCAAGGTTGGACATACATTCGGGACACAACAAAAACCTTCACCAAGAGTTTTTGAATGGCACAAGGTTTCATATCCCACATATTCTGTAAAGCTCCCGTAGTGGGAGATCTGCAATTGAAAAACAGGAATCATTATGTTCTCTGCCTTCATAGGACAAGCCAAAAAGCTAATTTGTACTCAATAAAACACTGAAGAACCCTTTCCGTCAATTATCTTTGATAGAGGAAACAAGTACTCCAGGAAGTGATTAATTAATTCTCCATCAAAAAAATTGAAGAGTCAACAGATTTTATAAACAAAAGGAGTGTCATTCAATCACTATTACACTTAACGAATAGTGTTGGCACATAATTTTGTTACTAATATTTATATTGATTAACATAGCATACATATGGTGATGAGCTATGAGATTATTATAAACACATGATTAAATTCTAGATAAAAAGACAACCAGTTCACATGCAACACAACCCCCACAGAACCAAGGCACCAAATATACAACATGCAAGTCACACAAAGTGCAAAAGTCAAGCAGCTGCACCTTCAATTGATAACACGACTTAAGTCCTTTGAACTAGAAGGGCTGACTACCTACTTTCACAAGCAACTATATAAGGCACCAGCAAGTGCTTAACAAAGAATATGTGCATGGCACAGAACCAGCAACACTACTAATAAAACATGCAACACACAGGCACACTAATACAAACAGACACAACACTTCAAGTTGACATGCATGCATAAATGCTAATGAGTACACTGGAAGCTCAAAGGATCTGGTGCTTCAACTTTGGAGACAGTAGATATTGGTTTTGGAAAAAGATATGTCACACTTCTAAGAGACAAATATCACAGAAACAATAAGGACATCAATTTGAAAAAGCCTCTCAAATACAGCTGTTTTCTGAATTATCAAAGTCCTATCCAACAAAATCAGTCATATTATTTAGCTCACTTACTTTTTAATTATCACTTAATCTGAAATTTTACAGGAAAAGATTGCATACAATTGTGATTGAATTTATGAAATACTGCAATCACTATTTTTAGACTTTCTAAACACAACCAAAGTAGATCACACCAGATCCCAACAAGGTGAAGCCACTCAAGTCATGTTAATTCAATGAAATTCCACACCATAATAGCAGCGTTACCTGCGGGTTAAAAACTAAACTTGAGGTAATAGTTCAAAGAAAAGGTACACTTCAATGCATACATAACGTTTGGAAAAGAATGCAAATGAGTTATTACAGAATCTGCTTAAAATTCATCTAAGGTAGAGTTTCCCCTTTCAAGACAAGCTGCTTCAAATTTTTTTTGTCAATATATTTTGCATGCTGCATCGAAACCACAGCCACATAAATAGCCCAGAGCCATTTTTCAAGATTAACATTTGTTAACAGGATAGGATTACCTTTGTATCATAGATGCAGGCTGCACAAAAGTTAAAAAAAAACACTTCTTTTAAGTGTCTTAAAAAGGGACTGCTCCACAAAGTACTTGAATCTTGTTTAGAACTAAGTCAAGCTAGTTGCTCCACATCATGCAAAGTAAACATTTATGAAATCCAAACTAATCTTGGTGCCATCTGAGACAAAAAGTGACTATCTCAAGAACCTCAAAATACTATGAGCATGCCAGCCAATCTTCTTCCATTGAAGAAAGTAACAAGGGGACCTGACAAATTACAAGTAGACTGGAATGTCATAAAAAGTGCGGTACACTATTTCCAATAAGAACTTCATTATGAATGAACAATTACATAAAGATCATTATTTAAGTATGACATAATCACAGACCAAACTACAACAATAACAAACATAAAAGGGGAAAAATTCACAAGTATTTAAGTTGAAACTGTAAATTAACTTTCATTGCATATTTGTTTAACTGAACACATTTCTAATCATCAAAAATTACATGACAAATACTGTTTTACTAGGTTTAGCTAGGAAGTGTGATAAGTGGCACTGTTAAGTCCACATTCTCAGGCTCATTTTAAGATTGAAGGGTTCAACATTCTGCTGGCAATAAAATCCAAATTATCAATGCAGTAGTTTGCCAGTAACAACACAAGTTAATACTTTGTACCCTCCGAACCCAAATAACGTAAAAAGAATATTTTGTCACTCCAAATTTTGGTGCCTATATGGACATTAAAACATCCGAGAGAACATCAATTCCTTTAATAATAGTTTTGAGGCCCCTGTGACTCATGGGTTCCTTTGAAACCTCCTTCTGAAAGCACTCAGTGCTAAAATTGGGCCCAACTTACAACCCGCACACATGTACAGGACACACAAAAGTTTCAAAATTATGAAGAACATTGAAAGCAGAGCAACCCTGGTAAAAATCTGGTTAACTAGAATAGGATTTATCACATTTCATGTATTCACTGATCTTGGAATATGTAGAAGCAGCACTGATTTGAGCAACGATTTGTGAAACTAACATACAAGAGTAGTAACATTATCTGAAACATATTCAGACATATATTTAAAAAACAATAAAGGAAGCTTTCCCTTTCTTAGACATGTATTGGGGAAAGAGGTTAGAGGATAGCCAAATTGAATTGAAGATTCAGTGCACTTCTTTTTGACTTGGGACAGCTGAGCAAACCCTGCGATACTGTGCAGATCCTGCGACTTAATTACTGTGCAATGTGAATGGTGCGGGGCTTCATTAGCTACTATACTAACGAAGTTGTAGTTTCTTTTTGAAACAAAGTACAGTGAGGAATGCAACAGTTATACCTCCAAACAAGTGAGTAAAACTACAAAAAATATATTTAACGTCTGATCTTTAATCTTGTCCACATTAAATGAAATTTTAATAAATGATTAAGAAAAAAACCAGATCAAATACACAAGAAAGATCTCTAAGAAGACAAGATGAATACAAAGCAATGTTTCAATAAGAAAACTCAGTTCATTAAAAGCATAGCAATTGATTTTGGACTGCGGTACAGATTTTGAAATAAGAAGCATCAATGCCCCTTCAAGGACACCAAATTTCACAATTTCCATTACTTGCCAGATTCAAGCATTCAGACAGAATTAATAGCTATCACAAATTCGTTACAAAACAAAAAAAACTAATAAATATCTTGATTTGAAATATTCTAATTAAGTAGATCAATTTGCTAACTAAGGGCCACAACAGAAGTATGCACTTATTTCACATTACAGATGCTACATGACTCAAGTACCAGTGTCATAATACAGATAAAGAATAAAAACAGGCATTAATTAGTTCAGTTATCAGTAACATTTGGCTTAGGAACAACAACAATTTGGCAACATGACCCTGATTTCATGAGAGTGCAGACTTCTGTTTTGGCCAAGCAGGGCCAGGTTACTGACCACTGCACCATATCAAACAATTAGGTGATGGGGAAGGATTGATGAGGAATAGGATAGGAACTGCACATTGACAGAACCTTGCCGAGACTCAACAGAAACTACTGGCATTAGTTCCACCTATATAAAAAAAAGAGAAAAAAAACTAAAAACAACAACGATAACGTTAAGTTAAGTTTATTAATTGTATATTATGAACCATACAAAACAAACTAAAATTGTCAATTTCAAGTCTTTTAGTAAAATAGAGAATGTAGTAAAATCACAGCTCAATGGTGACATTCATTCAGTTCTGATGAAGCTTTCATTTCTTTTAGTTATGGACAAATGAAATGAGCAGGGTGACTAAGGATGATTTGTAGAAACACTTGGCAAGGAACCTTTCATTGACTATACTGGACACTGATTTCTCACACTGATTAAATCTCACTAGTATTCCATTTTTTTTTAAAAAAAGAACCCTAATACATACAAAAGAGATGATACTGGTAACCCACAAGGAAAACATTGCCTACCAGGACATAAATCTTTAACCCTAGACACAGTTAACACTTTGATTTAAGAAAAATAACAAGACCCTCTGAGAAAATCATTAAATAAGTACAAGCGTAATTACCCTTTAGACTCATGAGGTAGAAACAACTTCTGCAAGCAGCAAATAATTCAATATTAGATTGCTCACTGACACATTTAAAACAATACGAGTCTCGCTAAAAGAAAAATTAAACGAACTCAAGAATTTATTTAAACATAATACTCTCAACAAGTAATAAATTAATAATCTACACAATTAATAAGCTCCCACTCACAGAAAATATACTATAATGTATCAGATTTTATAACCATTATTCTGAGCAAATAAAAAAATACTAAGAAACTTCAATGAAATTTCCAAAAAACAAATTTAAAATAATAAAGGAAGAAAACAATACGATCGTAAGGGACCACAAGGACAAAACCCTATCTAATTTTTTGATGCCATTGACGTTAATAACTAGTCACCCCGACAGGTACGAAAAAGTAAACAAGAATGTTGGAAAAGAAGATAAACTGTAAGGATGCTACTCAAATCAAGCCAAAAGTGTAAAGGAAATGAGAAAATTAAGAAAATAAGAAATAATCATTTTAGATCCCTCTTTTAATCCTTGAAAACATCAGAAGTAGGGGCAAATTGCAACAGACTTTAAAAAGTTTTTTGTCTAAGAAAGAAAAAAAAAGAGCTTCTAGTTTCCGAATTACTTAGATGTATGAACACACGATTAATTAACAACACTGACACTTTGGAAAAAATCACTAAATAAACTTTTCACATCTTCAGTTTTATCTGAAACAACTAACGATTTACAACAGGCTTTCAAATTAAATCCCCAACAAAGGAATCCTAAAACTATTACTGCTATCTGTTGAGCGAAGCCCTATAACCCTAACAATTGACACATAGCACCATAATATTTAAACTCTCAGACACACAAGACTAGATGCTGTAGGAAAAATACGTTTGAACAAACCACACATTTTAAGTTGCCAGAAAGAAAGGTCCTTGCCAAGATGATCAATTATCATGTTCAGAATGGTATGTCACAAACAATCTCACTCAGAACATAGTCAGACTTAAAATAATTTCTTAAAATTCAAATATTTTATATTCAGTAGCATCAGTAGATTGCTACAAAGTTACATGAAATATCCACCTTGGGAACAAAAAAGAAACAAAAGGTAGAACTTTGCAAAAATGAAATAGGTCTCGGCTGCCGGTTCGCTGGCAGTAGGGAAGAGGGGTTTAGGACATTGGAGGTATCGCAGAGCGACCAAGACTACTTAATAGCACTAAATACAATATACAAATCCTGCCCTCATGGTACGCATATCACATACCATAACTCAAACAGTACATTTGGTTTAAGATACTCTGAGCCCTAATACTCACTGTCATTGACTGTATTTAAACAGAGTAAGGGTCAAAAGTTTTCCAAAATGTGTTCCAAAACAAAAACTTCCTTTGAAAATAGAGCTACATGAGAACAGGACTATATTGATTTAGTATGAATCAAACTTACTCTAGGATTGCCTTATATGCTACTAGTTAGCCTCAAGTTTGTCCAATACATGCACCAAGTACATATTTTGAAAAAACAAGTTAGCTCCACCTAAATGAAAGCAAATGACCATGGTGAGGTGTTTCCCTAGATAAAATTGATCTTAGACTAACAAAATGCCTCACCACGAAAACTAAACCATTCATTCTTAATCTTAGTGCTACAACTTCATTGAAGAATAAATGCCGTATTTGACCCTTCCAGAACACATTTTCTGCTGTAACTTACAGACAGCAAAGAGTATTAATGAGTCATCCATTAGAGCATACAGACATAATGCTTCAGTGTATTGTGAACAGTTTTGCTTCTGTGGATAGCATTTGAAAAATCATGAAAGTAAGGCAAAGCAGTACACAATCGACTTTAGAAAGGTGCATTGCTCGCACTGTGTTTCAAACACACACACACACACACACACATTCAAAAAAGGAGAAATTTGAAACAATGAATTCCCATCCCATTTGATTTGGTTTACCTACAGTATCTGCATTGAATCAATCCACAGAGCAACCATTTCACATTTTCAAAGTCAACCCTGAGCAAGCTTTTGCAACAATTGGTCAATATTAACAAGCATACGATCTTCCTTGGTGACAAATACATTCAGTGAAGGGTATTCTTCTGGAAACTATCCCTCCCTCCCCTCCCCTCCCTTCAGCAACAGATAATCGGATTTCGTATGAAGAAGCAATGATAGGCATTGCGGCGGCTTGTGGTTTCACCCACCCACCCCTGAAATTTAAACCCCACAGCAATCTGAAAACAAATCAAATAAGAAGAAGATAGTTTGAAAAGCTAGTCACAGTTTTCTCATTTGACATTAAATATGGATATAAAAAAAGTCAACACACCTCATGGCCTCAAACACCGTAAGTGCTTGATAATCGCTCATTAAGCTGCGGAGGGAATTGGTCAGCAAATTGCTTCCAGTTTTCATCTCCAACTTGATTTTTAAATCCATGAAGTATCTAGAAGAAAATCACACCGTTGAACCACACAATACAATAATTTCAAATTTGGTTGTAATGGAAATTGTGAGAGAATGACAAATACCTTGTGGAACATATCTCTTAAATCCTCTTTAGGACTGACCCAAGATGCAACTGCATCACAGAAGAATATGAAATCTTGTACAACGCCAGCTGGGTTCACTGTTATCATCTGACACATTCCCCGGAAAGCACTATCTTTCTCTTCATTGTCCCTGATATTGCGAAGGGAGGAACACCTAACAGAGAAAGTAAAACATGAGATTGAAGGACAAATAAAGCTAAAACTAAATGAACACAATATTAAACAGAGAGGCACAGACAACTCAGACAATGAAGCTGATTAAAAAGGTCAGGTATGCCCCTCTCCAAACTTTAAAATTATAAAATCACTGCAGTTTATGTAGCCTAGATCCCATTTGACAACATCCAATTGACCCCACCAGAATTCCTACTCAAAAGTTGATACTACAGACAATTCCAACAGAAATTGAAGCTGCAAGCTAGTCCACGTAAAGCCAATATCCAGCCACTTGGTAAGGCATTAGAGCAGGAAACAGTTTACTAATAGTTTGGCAATGCACTAGCTGGATATAAATACCAATAAGCAACAGTAAATGATTACAATTGCTTAGCCTTGAATTGTGTGACGAACTTCATATTTTGCCGAGTAACTGAAGCCATGTGAACTTAAGTGTAAACGTTGCTATAAACAAAAAGAAACTCAAATAAAGTAGCAACAAATAAGTACTTAAAATAAATGAAAAGCCCTTGGACGCTCAATTATTTTTACTATCAAAGGACATGAGATCCACTACAATAACTGCAAAATCTATTTAAAAGAACTTCTACTGTGACAGGACGATGCCAATATCACATTCAGAATTATTGTTTAAAACTGCATGATCAAACAACAGTAGGGTGTATCAAAAAGATGAAGACAACCTCAAAATTCAAATGCTTTGAGTTGAGGTTAAGTTAAGGACAGTCTTACTAACTGCTACCTTACCTTCAACTAACTAAATGAAAAAGGCTACATACTTCACTGAATTAATGTGGTTGTCACCACACCTCACAAAATTACGTAGAAAGCAATTTGAAACCAAAGTTCATGTTCAACTGGTTTGCTACACAGAATAAGTCACGATGTAGGAACAAATAAGTACATTTGCTGAAGACTTAGTTAGATGAACTCAACAATATTGAATTCATTCCTGAATTTAATAGACTAAGGCTGAGACAAAATACCAGTTGAACAAGAACTTGACTAAAATAATGATTAAAAATAATTTTTAAAATTATTATAGTAAAAAGAAATGTTACACACCACTGACGAACAAAGTGTTGCAACATGGGGGCGACGTCATGAGGGCACACAAAACCTAGCCGGCCAATTGTAATTGCTAATAATGACAAAAAGAAAACAAAAGGTGTAAGTAAATAATCAAAAACAAATGAAAATTCACTTGAACAGTATGAGGTATAATACAATAAGGACCAACAACAAACAAACATAATTGCTACAGTGTGGCATGGCAGTGAGACAAAAAAAAATTAGGGGTATAAATCTGTAAGAGAACCAGTCCAGTTGGACAAGCAGATTTAACCAAGCAAGGGGAAGGGGAATAATTGGTAAAAAAAGTTGGATTTCTTTCGTACTGATTTCATTAATAGAACATCAAAATTTGTTGTGCAATATACCAAGACAAAACAAGAAAGAAGTTGACAACTCTGCAGGCATCACAGCACCATACCACACCATCAGGCACTTTGTTCATTTGTGACATGCTATAAGGATTTAAGGAAGTAACAGGAACAACTACCAGGCAGAGAACAGGCTGATAAAACACCAGGGAGACACTGCTTTCCAAAAAGGACAAAAGACTGCCACCCGGCACAAAATGTCAGAAATCATACCAAAACAAATTTTGATGTCAACAGAACAACAGAGAGTCTGTCAACAGGTAAAGTTAATAAACAGTCGAATGCACTAGCAGAATGAAACAGCACAAGTGCAAAATTTCCAAATCATTTCATGTAGGGCAGCCGTTTGTAGCCATACCATGCTTCAACATTCCAATTAAAATGCGAAAACCTAATACAGAATCAATAGTGAAAATTTGAACAAAATCAGGTTTAACAGCACATCAGTGCAGTGCTAAAAATCACATCAATTACATTGCTGCAACAGTAATGTAAAATACTGGCTTGCAAGCTATGGAGTAAAACTTTTTAACTACTAAGCTTTAACATTTCATTCAAGTGCACAATACTTGTGGGCAACACTTTGCCAAACGTTAAGAGAGAGGATTGATAAACAGCTGTTAAAAATGTTTTTTAAGAGAAATACTTCAAGATATTAAAATCAATTATCTGCAGTAAATCCTGTTTCAACAACCGAACAATGGTTGTGAACATTCACAACACCAGCACTCACTGCAGGCAACTGGAATCCCAGCAAAAATGCAATGAAATGATGCATCTCAGAGGATTCAAAGGAACAAGGTTTAATCATGTCTAGTTTGCTTCCAAATACTCTAAAGCCTAAATTGAAATTTTAAACAGGAAGCAAAAAGAAAGTATGATAAAATGCAATTTTATTTACCTGTGTTTTCCAGTAGTGTCTTAGGAGTATTCCCACGGTTTATAATGACAATTAGTTGGTTCAGAACCAAAGGAACGTACGGTCTCATATCTTGACCTAGAAAATACAAAGAATGCATCAAAAAATTCAAAGGCTTAAGGTACATTTGAAACAAATAATGACTTAACAAGCTTACCCAGTTTGACTGATATTTCACCAATGGCCCATGTTGCATTATTACAAACAGATATGAACTCAGGATTGAGGTTTTGGCCCAAGATAGGAAGGAATTCCGCTGGAGAGAGAAGAGCACATTTAAATAAAAAAAAGAATTAATATTGTTGTTATCTGAAAACACAAGTCCACTTACGTATACAAGGATGAACATGTTGAAAGCAGGCTTTTGTTAAATCTCCAAGAAGAGCAAATGATGATTGTCTCACTTCAGAGATGGGGTCTTGCATACATTGGTACAAGAGATGCATAATATTTGAATCTACAACAAGCTTTTCAATCTGACCATTAAGGCCTTCTGCAAGTCCAGAGAGCAGATCTAGTGCAACTATCATGAAGTCTTTGTCAGGAGCCTCAAACTGGTCTGGGCTTTGAGTGTTGGCCTGTGGACAGAGGGTTCCAAATAGAAATCAGAATGCATTTGGAGAAGAAACCTCCTTGAGAAAGCAAGTTCTTACAATATGTTGGTTTAACGTCTGCTCCACTAGGCACACACAGCGCCGGTAAACTGGCTCGCAGTAGGGAAGGAAACCTGATTGCAGTGCAGTTGCAACACTCGACAGACACTGGAATAAAGAATAAATGAAGAAGTAGACATTAGCCCTGGTTCAAAACAGTGAGAATGATCAAATGTTTCAAGTGCAAAATACTCACTTCAAGAAGAGGAAAGAGGTCTTTGTCTTCATCCTTCAGGACATTCCATTTGGCAATGAGTGGGGGCATCAGTAAGTTAATGTAATCTTCTTTGTTCAAATGGTGGCCAACAGAATCAGCAAGTGTACCAATAGCATCATAGAGTATTAAAAGATTTTTATGCTGATATTTGCTGAATGCAAAGACCAAGGTCTCAAGAATAAAGCCTAGGTAAGGTACTAGCTCTGTACAGGCTTCCTCTTCCAGTGTAGCAAAGGCAGAGCAAGCAGCTTCCTGCACTTTCTTGTTTCCATCCAGAATTCTTTTCAATAGCTAGAGATGAAAAGTTCTAAGTTATTGTTGAGTTAAGCAACATTATGATTGTGAAATGGAAGAAAATCGCATTACCTCATTCATTAAAGGTTTAAAATATAGATCATGATTTTGTGAAACAACCCAATGAGAGTATCTACTCAAAGTCCAACAAGTAATTGCTCGTACAAGAGCCTTTTTGTCAGAAAGGCAGCTAATCAGGTAAGGTATCAGTTCACCTAGATGAGGAATCATACCTTGCATGCAGCCTGCAAGTCAGAGTGAATGCAAAAAAAAAAAACACAAATTGTTACAATATCACTAAAGAATGACGCAATTTTTAAATAATTAACAAGAAAAGCAAGAAAACATAAAAGTATTGAACCTTTTAAGTCAACATTGAATTTGGCAAAAACAAAAAGAATTAATCAATACCATAGAGATTGATGATACGGAATAATTCAATCCATTCTCACGGGCTAAGTTTGATAAATGTGTATCCAGCTAAAACCAATGATATTTGTGTAACTTAAAGCATCAGCAATTACTCACCTTCAGCAATAGCTCCAAGAGCCAAAATACCGCTTTCCTTTACAACCCACTCATTATGGAAAAGGGTCTCCTTCAAGATTGGTACAAGGACAGGCAACAGGTCATCTCTGAACGCGTTTGCAAGACAGTCCAGAGCAGCAGCACTGCACTTCCCTAAACATTTAGAAAAAAGCAAGTAAGCAAATGGGCATAGTTTGAACAAGTTAGAAACCTGGCGATTTGGCCACATACTTAGATTCCAATCTGAAAGGGAGTTGTCATCATCAAGTCCATCATCATCATCATCTTCACCCTCTTCCCCATTCTCAGTGTGCTTGTGAGAGTGTGTTCGGGATTTATGGAAACGTGGCCGGATATCCTCTTCACGGTCTGGTATCATCTCATCTTCTTCGACATCGCCCTAAGACAAAAAAAAAAAAATGAGTGAGATTGTCAAACAACACTGAAAGATGCACAACATATAGACAAGAAATACCTTTAACAGGATGATGTCAATCTCAGAATATTTCATTCCCCTCACAAGAACAGGAACGAGTCGAGTAAGGTACGGGCCAAGAGCATCCTTACAAATCTGTTGCTCTGCCAAAGATAACCAAAATTCACATGCCTCAAGAGCAACAGCTTCATCTTGATCCTGAGTACGCATTAGCATGTACTGAAAAACACAGGGAGAAAAATAAAGGTTATAAACAAGTTGAGTGACTTCAATGATTAGTTCAATAAATGCAACAAGTAACACATACCTCAATGATGTTGTGCATATGCGGAATTAACCGGTCCATACGAACTTCCAGTAACATGACCAATGCTCGGCAAACATTTTTACGAACATCAGGATCATCATCAGACGCCAAGTGGAATAGATTCTGATAAAACAAAAAAAGATCAGGGTTAGATACAACAACACTAAGGCACAATGGAAAGAACATATTTCAATCTCTTACTTCAAGAAAAGGATCGATGTGAGTCATAAGAGCTTGAGTCCTGTTAATGATGAATTGGTTCACACATGCTATTGCGTGGGACCTGGAATGAAACATAAAATGAAAGACTAAAAAAACAAAAGAATAATTTAAGTAATCATTAGAACAACGCACGCTATTTAAGATCTAATTTCTGTTGGGAGGTCTACTCTCAACTCCACTCATTGAGCCCAGGGCCCTTGTGGTGTCAGCTTAATCTCTCAATGCTTTAGCACCCATTTTAGCTTGCTACTTAAAGAGGCAGCAAAAATATAAAATGAATGCACAAAAACAGTTTCACACTATTCAAAATCTAAAATTTGTTGGGAGGTCTACTCTCAACTCCACTCATTGAGCCAAGGCTCTTGTGGTGTCAGCTTAATCTCTCAATGCTTTAGCACCCATTTTGGCTTGCTACTTACGAAGGCAGCAGAAATATTAAACGGATGCACTAAACCAAGTACAGCTATTTAAGATCTAAATTCTGTTGGGAGGTCTACTCTCAACTCCACTCATTGAGCCAAGGCTCTTGTGGTGTCAGCTTAATCTCTCAATACTTTTGCACCCATTTCGGCTTGCTACTTACGAAGGCAGCAAAAATATTAAACGGATGCACTAAACCAAGTAAAGCTATTTAAGATCTAAATTCTGTTGGGAGGTCTACTCTCAACTCCACTCATTGAGCCAAGGCTCTTGTGGTGTCAGCTTAATCTCTCAATGCTTTAGCACCCATTTTGGCTTGCTACTTAAAAGAGGCAGCAACAAAATAAAATGAATGCACTAAACCCACTGGTAGCTGTAGGTAAATAGATTAATGATCGTCTCACCTTATCTTAGGGCTAGAATGTCGGAAGAACTCCAGAAATTTGGGAATGAGGATGTTGAGAGGTCTATTTAGAGCATCACTGTCAAGAATCTCTGCAGAGTCTTCACAAATTTTTTGCAGTGCCCCGAATGAACCCTGCATCAGAAATATCCATGAATTAAATCAAAGAGTCGCAAAACACAGAGAGGAAGGATTGGCGTCACTACATACCTCACAAGCATTGTAATCCACAGAATCCAACAGGGTAACTAAGGCAGGAAGCAGCTCTGGCCAAGATGTGAGCTCTCCTTTGGAAGCAATTGTGGTGATAAGAATGCCCACTGTAGCTCGTATCAGAGGTGAAGGATCTCCAACGGCATTCAAGCATTCCGCCTTGATGAACTCACTGACTTCGGGTAAAAACTTGTGGAAATGGGCTTTGACATTATTTTTAAGGATGAGACCACTGAGAGATCTGGTGGGTTCATCTAAAAACAGAAAGTAAAAATAGTAAATGTCACAAGCCATGACTACCTGGAAAACCATAATTACAAGAATACAAGGAGTCTTACCTTCAGACTTTAACTTTGTCAATACAAATATGAGATAATTGTTGAAATCGGGAAATTCATTCAATTCTTCCAATTTCTAATTAGCTTGGTTAAGGGTAACACAATTAAATAAATAATACAAACTAATGTATCAATGGCAGGACAATAAGACGGATTCAACCAATAAAAGCACAAATAGAGGGTTTGGGTCCTCAATAGAAGAAAGAACAACAGCAAAAATTAAATAGTCGCCCAAGGGCACCGTCTACACAGTCGGATTAGAAAACCCAACGCACTAGCAACCCTGGGCCAGGAATGAGGTTAGTCGTCAAGTCATCACAAATTCGCACCCTTACAATGTATTAGATTGCAAGGATCACGCAAAGTTAATCATAAAACGGATGCAACTTTAAGTACGAGTGCACCAAGAGGCACCAACGTGCTTGGGGAACGCAAATCGCAGCATTTTTCCATAGAAGTAGGCAGTTCCCGGTGTTTCGGTGTCTCGTCAAATACGTCATAAATGGCCGAAAACGCGAACAAAGGTCAGCTCATGTGAAGAAAATTGATTAAAAATTAGAGCGCTATCACTGTCTTCCACTTACAAAAAATGCTAAAAGAATATTTTTCCCCGAAGAAAACCCTGCGTTGCTACGGCAGGGACATGGTGTAGGCCTCCAAGAACCCCTTCGGATTATCCCAAACGAAGAAACCTTACATGTTGCTGGTTTCTAAATATCGAAAGGATACTTTTTGTACAGCTCTTTGCGTTGCAGTATCTGGAGATTGTGACTCCTTAAGGAGTTGAAGAATTTGTTGAAGACCTTCCTCTTTCGGCTGCCACGCCATTTTCATTATTGACTGCAAAACTTACACGGAAGTGCTCTGCCTGCTACAAGCTTGGCCGCCGGAAGCGACAAAACCAAGTCATAGCAGAGCTTGAATGGCTATAAACTTTTTTAAAGCTCAAATGATATCATGAAGCTACCTCATCTCCTGAGCTGAATTTAATAAAAAATACTTGCCATGAGGCAATTGGAGTTTGGAGAGAAAATTTGCGTCGATTGTGACAGTTACATTTAGACCCTCAACGAACTCCAGCTCTCTTACTGAGCTGTGATTGGTCGACAACATGTCAACTTTTCTCTCGAAAGTGAAAGGCGCGTGGTTTGGAAGCGGCGGGCCACGGAAGCTAACGGGACAGGACAGATGCCCCGCACTACGCCCATTCCCCATTCATTCACTCTTTTCTCATTCGTTTCCGCGATCGCGGCACTTGTCAACCCTTGGAAGCCTAGGGAAAATATCCGAGATCCTGCCCATTTTAACGAGGTTTACTTGAGGGAAGGGTTCGGTGTGGGCATCAGGTTCTAGTGGCTTACAAACACGCTACGCGCAGGATATTTCAGTACTACCATGGTACTACAGGAAAATAAAAAGATAAGATCTCTTTTATTCCTTGAAGAAAGGAAAATAATCTATTCTTTAATATAATAAAAATATATCAATATGATCAGTTGTACATTAGTATCACATAAATTGTAAACTGTGAATTTCCAACATTTTAATTGCATTTACGATTTTATTTCACTGTATCTTTCAGCACGAATTTTAGCCATCCTTTGAATAGATTTTTGAGCTGCATTATGAATCTTTGAATCAAGGTTATCTGGAAGTGACAAAGAAACTACTGTAATAATAAATTCTCTTACAATTAAAAAATTTTAAAAAAAGAGAGAAACACTTACAAATTTTGTGTTGACCTTGCATTGGAAAGCGTACAGGCAAAGCCAAAGGATCTTCACAAATAAAAACAAATGGTGAATCACTTTCTCCTTCTGGGTATCTTTGACGATACTCCTCTTGGGCTAAGCAATCGGTTACTGTGACACAGCCAAGCAAGCATCCAGTAGGATAATGCTCAGGGAAGCGGATGTTGGGATCTGATCGACACAAGAAAATTTAACAATCACATAATGAATTTTTTTTAAATTTCAATATAGCAGATTGTATGAATTGACCCTCGAATTGACCTCTGTTCTCATGGCTTACCTCCCCGCAGAAGACTTATTGCCTTTTCATATGATTTGATTTCTTGCATATCAGGCTCTTTGGCGGCGGCAGCAATCCAGAGCCGCCCTCTGTGAGCAGAGTACCAGTTACGACCTTCATGGCTGTAGGGTTTAATCACACTTCTTAATACAAATTTATGATAATCCAAAGATTTCAGATGTCAGAGCAACTGGGAACTTACAGCTTTATTCCTACAATCAAAAGAGATGCCCACGGCTGGTGCATACTAAGACAACGTCCAGAATCTGTCATTTCAAGGAATTCTTTGTCTTGGACACGGTTGGACTGGGGGAAGTTCCTATCGCCTTCAGGGGATGGAGAGTGTCTCCAAGGTAAATCTTCCATAACAGACCCTTGGAACTGGAAACATTAAAAAGTGAGCTCAGTAGAAATGTTTGATGCAATTACAATCACTCAAAATGAGGTGACATACTGTTAATTCCGGGAAGTCTATTCCAGGGTCCATGAGACCAGCACTACCACCACTTAATTGTAGTTCTTTTAGGGCTTTCCTGTTCTCTTCTTCATTAATTATTTCAGAGAGAACTTGCTCTTCAACAACTTGACGTCCTGAAAAAAAAAGAAACAACAAATAAAAATAAAATCAATCAAAATCGGCCATTATGTTCAAAACCATTTAACCAACAAACCTGCAAAATCAAGGGTAAAGCGTGCATCCCTTCTAGAAGCATGCTTGCGAGCTCGTTCAGCATCTTCCTGGCTCTTTAACTTTTGTCTTTCTGTCTCCGACAGCCAAACCGAACTAGATGAGTAATAATCACTCTCATCATCAATTACTTTGGTGCGCCGTTCACTAGGGAGACAAGCCACAGATCTTTCATTGTATTGTAAAGTAGATAATTTTATGGTCAATATGAGACAATACTGTACCTGGTACGGTCGTATTCTAACAAACGGTTGCGCTGAGCTACTGCAGCATCAACATCTGATGGCTTACCCTGACTCATGAGCTTCTTCAAGAGACCTTCTGATTGCCTTGAATTTCTTTGAAGAACTTTCATTGCTTCAGGTGAGCAAACCTGTTAGACAAACAAACAGAATGAGATTTGTTGTCTAAAATGTGAGAGACTTTTAAGATTATTTGTGTAATATATTACCAGATTATCACAAAAGAAGCAAGGCCCTGCACCCTCTTGCTCACAAACTATGCGGCCACATTTAACACAGTTGTTGACTAACTTATGCTTGGTTGCTTGACACTCACAGGCATGTCGCCCTAAAACAATTTTATCAATTAATCCTTCAGGCTACCAGAATAAAAAAAAGCAGTTTAAGCTTAAATCCCACCTTTAAGTAGAATGGTATCTTTATTTTGGCCTTCTTGAGAATACAGGTTGACAAATTTAGGACGTTTTTTAATGCCAGGTGCACTGGTCTCAGGTTCTTCCTACAACAACAAAATTTTAAACTGTAATAGGAACCCAAAAACTATAATGCAAGGATACTTTGAGCAACTGACCAATAGGGGTGGTGCTGGTTTCTGATCATCATGATTTACTTGAGTACCAGGCTTTGATCCAGATTTCTTGCCCTTTCCCTTCTTGTCTGAGTTGCCAACAAAATAAACTTCTTCATTTTGGGATTTTTTGTAACCCACTGGCTGGGGCTGGCCACCAGCATTGGAAGAGCCTTAGGGCAGACAAGGGTCAACGTTAATTATGTAAATTGATACGCAATTTTTAAAACACTTTCTCTATAGATGAGACCTTTAAGGCGGATCAGCAAACTGTCGTAAAACTGCTTATGTTGAGGATTGCCAAAGTTCAGTAGAGATCGGCAGTAATCTTCTAGGTCTTGTCCTGTTTCCATAGAGACTATGTACCTGTAAGAATTTGAAGGAGATAAAGAGAGAAGAAAAGGCGAGTACTAAGCTTTTTCTTTTTTTTTGACCAAGAAGCGAATGGTAGTAAAGCTATATTAGCAGAAAAATTAAATGATGTCACATCGCTACAAGTGTACAGACCCAACCATTTCCTGTGGGACCTCAAAGCCCAAAACTTGTGACAACTGGTCATGTATCCATTCAGTTGCTGATTTATCGCCCATCTTTCCTCCAACGATACTATTCTGTAAGGTTGATAAGGAGTTTTTTAAAAAATGGACAAAACACCGAGATTGAAAGATTAAAAAGTAAGTTGTTAGCAGACGGTAGTCGAGTAGTTTGATACGTGGTAAAGACATTTGGTGGATGACAATAAACAATAATGATATGAGTAAAAGATCGAAAAGAACAACGTTCTTAATTGCCATAAGACGTCTATCACGAATTAATGAAGATTAGTCCATAAATTAGAAAATCTTGAGAAAACCTAACCTTCTAACGTAGAACAACGAGCCACTGCTTCGATGAATCGACGCCGGTGTTGTTTAGTTCTGTAGTTTCTCTTTTACCCACGCGAGGCGCTAGTGTTTGCTGGTTCCCGTTGAAACGGAAAGATTTGCATTCCTTTTTTGTTGATTCAATACGTGCGTGATTTCTTTATCGTTATCACTCAAGCAAGAGTCTGCGTTTTCTGGTGAAAAGCAGCTGTCAGCGAATTATTGATCATTTGACGTCTTTGCTTTCTGAAGCCACCCAAAAGATGAGCTCCCCAGCCCTATGAGAAACTAACAGTTCTGCGGTGTAAAGTCGAATTTCGACAACGCTGATAAAGCTCTATAATGAACGTCTGAAATTGAAAAATTTCGGGTTAGTCCTAGAAAATAAGCTAAAGCGCTCCCTTGGTTAACAAAATTCAGCCCTTGAAATTTCAAACTAGTATAAAACTAGGAACTAGATATTTTGACACAAGCTACGCTGAACATAAAATTTTTCATAACAACAAAAACAGCTGTCAGTTACAATGACGCAGTAGCATTTGCAGAAGAAAGGACAGACCAGTGTCATACCTATGAAATTCCCACTATTCTCTATCTTCAAAACAGTAAGTTGATTTCCTTTAGTCCCAACGTGAAGAAAAGTTCCTTTACTTCTTCGATGGGTAACAATTCACTTCTGTTCTTTGCTCATTCTCTTCCAGAGGGGCGTGGAAAAGTTCAAGGCTAGAACGGACCCTCTATTATTATTTTTTCATGGTTAGCCTAAACACAACACTCACAGCTGATTGTGTCGCCAAGACAGGATCTGTTTCTTTTTTGGTCATCTTTCTGTAACTTTCTGATTTCCGATTTTTCGCGTGAAAGGACGTCGATTTCATTAAACGTTGGTTCATTTTGCTGTTGCGACGATAGTACTGCCCGTGGTTGTATGTTGGGATACTTATGAAAGTGACTCAATCAGCCTTGTACCCAAAATGGGTCTAAACTAAGAAATCTTGGTACAAATTTGTTAGCCGTGCCTCATTTTCTGATTGAAGTTCACAAGAAGTGTCTCTATTTATACTTTTTCCTGGGATTTTTTGTGATATGAAATAGTTTTCTTTGTCTGAGGTGTCATTGGTGCAGTGAGTTGCTTATCAGCACAAACTTTTCCATCTCATTGTTTCAGTCAAAATAGCTTGAGTTTAGTATTAAAATTTTCCTCTTTTAATTCTGATTACATTCATTTTAAGTCCAATTATTGTCAAATCGTGTTTATGCTGTATTGATTGAGAGTTGCCCAAATTGGCAGTATGGTGCTAAACAAGGTAGATGCATGTATTCAACATAGGTTCTTGTCTTTTGTCCTCAGGAAGATGTCAGCTGACTCCCCAAGACGCTCAGGTGGTCGTATGAATCGCCAGGGCGGGGGAGCAGTCTCTGCAAATGGTGGAGGCCTAGTAGTTGCACCACAACCTGTGACTGACCCGTCCATCATTGACAGTGTCACTGGCTTTATCAATGATGTTGTACCTCAGGTAAACTAACTGGAGCAATTATGGTGTTTATGTCATCAAAATTTTGAAGCTCTTTTCTTCTTTTTTTTCTGAAATTGATTACACCACATGTACATTTCCTCTCTGGAACAGTGTTGTGTAGCTGTATTTAATTCAATGTTGTGTGTTTTGGTGTTTGCCCTTACACTCTTCTATGTTACAGGCTTACACAAGCACTCTACCTGGAGATTGTAAGGAAACCATAACATGGGCTCGTTTTGAGTCAGCTGATATCAATGACCCAGCCTTCTTCCCTGACTGCACATCAGATACAGTGCTGCCACTTATTCTTATTTTAGGTTACAATACTGGTGTTCAGGTGATTACATTTGGAATGTCATCCTCGGCATTTGCTCAAGACAAAATTTTATCATCTCATTTCCTTGTTTGTGATTATTTAGGTGTGGGCCATCCCCGCAAATGGGGAAGCAACTCAAGTCCTATCTTGGAGCCAGGGTAGTGTTCGTACTCTTCGTATTCTTCCAAGCCCCCTGTCTAACTTAGCCCGTAACTCTGATCCTTATGCATCGAAGAGACCACTTGTAGCTATTTGTGATAGTGCAGGTCCTGGTCCTCCATTTTGCTCTGTTTGTTTCATTTCCCTTAAAACTGGTGACCAAGTAAGTGCTCTTTTACAAATTGTTTGTTGATAATATTGCAATATCTGTATAGTTACCTCTATGTCTCTTCTTTAATTTATTACAGGTAAAAAGTATCAAATTTAATAAAAACCCCGTTTGTGATGTGTATGCAAATCGTCGATCTGTCATTGTGACGTTTCCTGAAAGAATTGCTGTGTTTGATGCTTGTTCTCTGGAAGACCGACTCTTAAGTGTTACCACATGCTATCCAAGTCCTGGCCCCAATGCTAATCCAGTTGCACTTGGCTCGCGGTGGCTTGCTTATGCCGAGAAAAAATTGGTAGCCTGGCAGAGAAGCTCAGGTGGTGTAGGAGGTAAGAACATAATTTTTTCTGAGTGATATGAGACTTTGAGTCCATTTTCTACAAGATAATTATTCATGACCACTTATCTTTCATTAAGGTGGAGGCGCTCAGTCATATACAGCTACTGTCTTGCAAGCTGCCCAAACACTTGGGAGGGGTCTTCGTGGATTGAGTGAGTCAGTGGCCAGCAGTTTGACGGGGCCCCGCAATCATGCTGGTGGCTCTATGGGGCTCCTGGGCAGTTCTCCACCCACTGTGAATGGTGTGGATCATAGTTCCCCTGGCATTGTAACTGTGTTAGACCTGGAGGTGAGTTTTTATTTCCCCTGATAGACGGGCTTCCTTGGATAACTTGTTTCCTATGTCAATTTAAATTTTGCAGGCCTCATCAAACAAAAGCAATGGCTTGGATGAAGGGCACTCAGGCAATTCTGTTGCAACCGATGCAGTCATTGCTCACTTCATAGCCCACAATGAGGCAATTGTGGCTTTGGAGTTTGACCCCAGTGGGACTTTGTTGCTGACTGCTGATAGACGTGGCCACGATTTTCATGTTTTCCGGCTCCAACCTCATCCAAGTGGCTCTTCCTTAGCTGCAGTACACCATCTCTATGTTCTACATAGAGGAGATACAACAGCTAAAGTGCGTCTCTACACATGCTCAAAGCCTCTTAGCTTGTTCTTAAATTAGGACTTAAACTGAGACTTTCACTTGTTTTCAGGTTCAAAATGTGTCCTTCTCTTATGACTCACGTTGGGTGGCTGTGAGTACAATGCGTGGAACAACACATGTCTTTCCACTTACTCCTTATGGTGGGCCAGTGGGCTTCCGCACTCATGGATCACCACTTGTTGTAAATCGATTGAGCCGCTTCCATCGCAGTGCTGGTCTCAGTGCTGATGGTCGAAGTAGCCCAGTGCCAAGTCCAGAATCTCCACCTTGCCTTCCTGCAGGTTAGCTAACCTTCATCATAAATTTAAATTTATTGAAGATGATTTACTTGATAAATGACAAAATGAAACTGGAGAAGTTTGACACTGTCCTTATCATTTCACAGGACCACATGCGAATCCTCGTCTACCTCCTTACCCGCATCCCACTGTACAATCTCCTCTGTCTCAATTGCGGCAGTCGCCCCATCCCCCACTCCCCCCTGCTGGTGCTCTTGACATTTCTCTCAAGGTTTGTGCCACCTTTGCCTCTCCTCGGGCGTGGCTTCTTGATTCCCAAACCACTCATCCCCGTGATGGGCCAAGAGATTCAAGCAAAGTCCTCCGGCGCCCTGTGGACTCGTTGTTTGTCATGGCCCACCACGGCAATCTAGTTCAGTATGATTTGGACCCCAAACCAGTTACAGGCAAGTACTATTCTCATGCAGTTTGAGCTTTCATGTATTTGCTTCCCTCTTTGCTGATGTAATTTTCCATGGCAGCTGGTCCACGTGAGAAAATCTGCGATGATACCCAGATTGAGCTGGAAGTAGAGGCTAAGGCCCAGTGGCCACTTCAACGTTCCTCCCACTCTGCTGAGGTTCTGCCTCCTCTGTCTCCATCAAACCTCCTTTTGTGTGGCCCAGAGCTCCGGATGCCTTCGGTAGAGTCAGAAAATAATGGACAACTTGAAGAAAGGTGGCTTTCACAGGTAAGATAAATTTGAGTACAATCGTTATTTTTTGGCTTACTTTTAAATGGGGTATTTGATACCAACTTGTTGAGTTTCAGGTGGAGATTGTTACACATGCTGGCCCTCATCGGCGTCTGTGGATGGGACCTCAAATCACTTTCAAAACATACACAAATACCACTTCCGGGTAAATTTTGTTATTTGTTCACAATGGTTTTCCGCAGGATTTGTTTTTAGTTGGTTAATTTACGCAATATTATAGGTCAAATGTGCTGCTGCAAGATGTTGAAGCTGTTGAAGTTGGAACGGTACCTGTGTCTCGACCAGCTCGTTCAAACCCTGTGAACATGCCCTCTGGAGGCAGACCAATTGTTCCAGTTTTGATTGAGTCAGGATCTGGAAGTAAGTCTTTGTTCCATTTTATTGAGCTTCTGTTCAGCCAAGTTATAGGAGCAATCTTATAAACTTATTTTGTAGTTCAACAGTCTCAGTAACTCCCATTTGTTGTTTTGTTTTGTCGAGCAGGTAGCTATGAGCAGTCACCCCACTTGTTGGAAGTGTATGGAGCTGATTCAGGGGATGCTGAGCACTGGGGGGGCCATGGAGACTCCAGGCTGCGAGAGGATCTTGCTGATGCTATGCTTGAGAGCCCTGGAGCACCTTCACGAGAGAAAGGTAGGTCTATTTTGCTTGTGGAGTGGGGACATGTGTAGGTGATTGAATGTGTGGAACTAGACATTTAAAAGCCAGGAAAGCATTGCTTGATTCTGTGATTGAGTGAAAATTTCCTTCACTTTTCTAACTTTATTGGTAAGAATGGTTTCTGAAAAAAATTATTTGTAACTGTCTCATTTGTAAATAATTTCTGAATGTTGCAAATGTGAATGAACAAGGTAATATGTTAATCGAAGAAATGAAGAAAGCAAATTGCATTTGGTCCTATAACCAGGGTGGTGTGTATAACTTACTTATTTTAATTCTTTCACATGCATTTCACTTATTTGTTTGATGGGGTGCGCTCCAGTTTTATTATGTAAGTGGGGTGGTTCATCCCGTGACAAATCTCCTACATCCATTCCTCTCTTGAAACACAGGCAACACTACAATTACTCTGTCATACATAGATACTCCACTCATACTGAGCTTTTAGAATTCTAAAGCTCGGTGCTGTACCTTGCAAATGTTTTCCTGGATAAGTTTGTACTGGATATTTGTTGGTATAATGCTTCTTAATGATTGCCTTGTCCCCAAGAGCTCCTCTGTGTTTGTATCAACTGACCCCTTTCCAAATTAATTTTGGTTATTTTTATTAAAATTTAAACTCAACTGCCTGCTTTTAAGTGACTTTGTTTTATGAATTTCTTTGAAATGCAGCTTTCTTATGACCAATTCAATATGTGAAGTGGAGCTCTGTGAGGGTTGGGTACATTGGAATTGTTCAAAAATTCACTTCTAAATTAGCGTAAGATTAGGCTCTTATTTTGTTTCACTAGTTTTGCTTTGTAGAACTCCACCTATTCTATTTATGTGCTTTATCCTGTTCTGTATATATGATCATCTCCATTCTTTCCCATCATATTTATTGTCCATTCTACCTTCCCACTTGCCCGTTCATATTTATTAATTTTGTCCTTACATTGCTTGTAAGGCATTTGAAATTTAATGGTAACGGTAACATAAGAGAATTTAACTCTATTGTTTTGTTGAAAGGGGGCTTGTTTTATTGCCCAATATACTTTCAATTAGCTTAATTGAATCTAACTCTAGAAGTAAAGATTAACCTTATTGTTGTAATGAATCTAATATTCCTTGCTCATACTAGACAAGCTCCTTTGTTGTTCATCCCTTACCCCCTCATCATTGTTCCACCTAAGGTCAGAGAATGGTGATGGAACGGTTATTACGTCAAGGTTGATATTACTCTGGAGTTCAAGCTTGATTCAATTCTTATTGGGCCAATCTTGTGTCTTTTGATGCATGCCTGATGGCATGAGGTATCTAAAGTTGTGGTGGCGGTACCTTGGTGACACATTTGTTTTATTAATACATTTTCCTTTCTGAGAAAGAAAAGAGGAAAAGAATAAGCCAGAGTGAGTGGCTCAGTACAGAACCCTTTCGTGCTGCAGCTTGCAAGTTTGCTAGTTTTTCTTCCAGGCAGCAGCAATAGATGCATGTGTGTTTTGTCAGATAATGAAGTTTGCAAATTTGGTGTACAGCCCAAAAGTTTTCTCCATGCATGTGGATCTGATCTATTGTATCAATTTGATTTCCTATAGTTATCTTTTGGTTGAAGGGCTATTGCTCTCTGTATCAACTTATGCTATTTGTGAAATATTTTTTGGCCAAACACCATCTTACAATTTTCATGTGTGTAATGTTTTGCACTGTGTTGGTGTTTTTGGCTTTAATTTCACATACCTTCAAAACAGATAATTTGCACTAATACTTTAAAACGCTTGAGCTTCCCCTATTTTCCCCTGAAATTTCACTCTTATTTTAGTGTGATTTAAACTTTATTTTCTATTCTGTGTAATTTTTTCTTTCCCTGTGACTATGCAGAAAGTTGTTTTTATGTTAGGCTACCCTGACCCATTTGATTGACAGCTGCAGAAATGTAACGAGAAGGTGGTTTACTCTGGCTTATTTTCTTTTCTTTTTTTCTTTCGTAGGGAAAAGAAGATACTGTGGTCTTGTAGGAGGAGAAGGAGGTGGTGGAGATGGAGGAGGAGAAGGAGGCGGTGAAGGGCTGGGGGAGGGAAGGGGGAGAGGTAGGGTCAGCCCAAGGGCTAGTCCTATCCGGCGAGTGGTGAACCCTGGTGGGGCTGAGATCACGGTCAAGTCCAGTGCTGAGACAGGCCTCCATCTCATTGAGGAGGCCGACTCGAGTCTGGACCTCAGTCAAAGCCTTGGCCAATCTGGCCAAAGCCTCGGCCTGGCAGAATCCCACTGGGAAGCAATTGCAATCCCTGCCTCTGCGCCCCTGATCCCCGTCCCCCTGGACCCCCTGGACCCCCTGGACTCCGATTCCCACGACCCAAGGGTTCCCTCCCAGATGACGCGACAACTCGTCACCACCATTGCTGCCTCCAGACTGCAGAGGCTGCCTGTTGAGTTGGCTCAGAACCCGCAGCCACTCAAACCACCAAAGTCATCCAAGCCAACTCAGGAAACTCCACCAATGCAAGCTCATCCATTGAAATCAGCTAAGCCAACAGCAGACAAGGTACAAGAGCCTCCTGAGGTTCTAAAAGAAAATGTAGTCTCAGAAGTGAAACTTGGATTTGCTGATGTAGGTCCCAAAGGTGTAGGGGAGGAATCTGTTGCTGAGAAAGAACCAGGAGGTAGGAGGAAAAGTAAAATTAAGGGTGGAGTTGGGGTTAGTTACAAAAAAGGGGGCACTCCTGAGAGGGAGATGCAGTGCCAGAAAGAAGGCAGTGCAGAAAAGGATGTTGAAACTGACAAGGTCACCAATAATTCAGAATCACTTCCAACTCGGAAAAAGGTCAAAAGGGGGAAGGAATTAGTGAAGGAAGTGGAACCATTGTCCTTTAGTGAAACTAACAATGAACTAGTAAATTCAAATCAGACAGAAGAGACTTTATCTCTCAATACTAATTCCCACAAATCTGATGAAACGTCCAAAAGTTTGGAAGCAGTTGAAGTGGCAGAAGTGGTTGAAACGGCTCTAGACCAAAAGGCGAAAAACACAGAATTTCTTCAAGAATATTCTCCAAATGAAATTGTTAAAATTTTACCTAAAGCAGCTAACAGAAAGTCACCATCCCCACAGAAAGAAATACCTGAAACTAAGAATACAGAGAGGTTGTTGGTGTCACCTGAAATGGTCCCTGGTGATGAAGTGCCCATGTTAACATCATCAAAGAAGACTAAAAAGAAGTCCTTGAGGGAAAGTTTGAAAAATGATATAATTGATGTGGAACTTATTGTAGGTAAAGATCATAACTTCACAAGTCAGAAAGAAACTTCTGACTGTATTTCTGTAGTATCTTCGGTTTTGCAGGATGTCATTCAAGTTGATGTAGATGCAGGGGAAGGAGTTTCACAATCAACCTTTGATGCTAATAAGGAGACCAAGGTAGAAGCAGTAATTGATGTAGAAGTAAAAAATTCTGGTAGAAAAAAAGATTTTACCTCCGATAAGCAAGGTAGCAGTGATCAAACTGTTTCTACCATTGAATCTTCAAAACCTGTATCACAAACATCTTCTAAGATCAGTAAAAAGTTGTCAAAATCTAGGCAAAACTCTCGTGAGGAATCACCAACCAAAGACCCATGCAAGCATGAGGGTCATGTTAGTGAAGTAATCAGTGATGTGCCATCTAAAGGTTCTAAAAAAGCTACAAAGATGGAGAAAGCAGAGCAAGAAATGCCTGCTGACCCATGCTTTGTTTCAGAGAGTAAAGAAACAGCTGCTCCTGGAAAGACTAAGAGAGGCTGTAAGTCCAAAGACAGTGAAAACACTGTCAGTAAATCTGAACTTGTTGAAGCGCAGCAGGGTGAGGAAGAAAACTCTGTGTACAGTTACATATCCTGTGCAATTGAAGATAAAGAAAGTGAACCTAGTTTTCAAGTAGAAGTCCAAGAGGATTCCTTTGACCTGGCACCTGTACTTGATGACTCCCCTGTTCAAGTGCCAGTTAGAAGTGGCAAGAAAAGCTCAAAACTCTCCAAAGTGAAGCCTGATGACCCTGAAAACAAGAATACCAAACCATTGGCTGAAATTGTCAAAAGTGTCTCTGCTTCTGAAACTACTGTTTCCAATGTTTGGAGTAATCAAAGCAACATTGATCATGTAGATGATTCGGATATGTTCCCAGCACTGCCAAGCAAAGCCTCAAAGAAAGGATGGATTAATATATCTGATGATTCTTCAAAGATTGATGATAAATGTCCAGTAAAGATTAAGTCTGATAAAGGCACCAAAGGTCTGAGTAACCCAGCAGGAGAAGTTGTAGAAGTTTCAAAGCCTAAAAGAGGTTGGGAAGTACCCAGCTCTATCAACTCTCATGAAATGGACATTGAAAAGCTCACATTTGAGGACTTGGAAGCAATAGTAGATGCTGCATGCAAAGAAGAAGAAACAAAGACGGAAGAAAATTGCCTGAAAGAAAACAAAAAGGGGAAAAAGAATGATCCCAGTAGTGTTTCTAGTTCTCCAAAGACCAAAGGGAAAGAAAATGTTGTAGAGGAAATTATTGGTGGAGGAGAAGATACCGTTGAAATCATTGAAGTACCAAAGCCAGCAGAAGAGCCTGTCAAAGTTCCTGAAAAACCACTTTCCATCCCTAACAGAAGTTCAAAAGCTCATAGAAAGAAAAGGCGGTAGTTGTTATTATATTCCTCCTGTACAGTTTATCTCATCAATTTGCCCCTTTATTCAATCTTTTTTATTGACACTTTGAGCAGTTACAATAAAAGTCAGCATCTTCTGCACTGCCTCTTTTGGGTGAAATAAAAATATATCAGTCTATTGCAAATGCACAATGCCCTATAAATGTGTCTACTAGATTGTTTGAAGTGGCCCCTTTCCTTTATTTCTTTTAAATGGATTTTAATGAAACGGTTTTTGTTGTAGTGTTAGTAGTAAGATATGAATGACTATCATAGAGAGCTTAAGTAGAGTCAGTTCTATTGACCACTATTTCACAATCTGCTTAGTGTCCTCCCATTTTCTTTTTTTGAAGAAACCAACTTTGAATATAGATGGTCTTAGTTTTGTGTCTTGGGTCAAGAGTTCTAGGTGTGGCCTCTGTATCATCATGTGCAGAAATAGAATAAATTTTTCTGCCCTCAATAATTCTGGAATAAAGCGTTAAGTGCTCATTTTAATTGGGACCTCATATCAAAGAGTTTTCTTAGGATTTTATGACTTTACAATTCTTACCTTTTTGCTTTACCTTTATGTATGGTAACGTTTTTTTAAATTAGAGATTCTTCTCTGACCATGTGATTCTTTTCTTCTTTCCTTGTTCGTATTTTGAAACAAAATTTGATCAAGATCTCATGCATGTTCTTGTGCATCGCTTGTAGGTAATTGATTCAGTAAAGGTGGACTGCGTTTGGTTTATCCCCATTGTTGTAACAGGGTTGTAGGCATAAGCAGAACAATGGTTATGACGTGAAACCATTCTATTCTTGTGACTTCTTGGATGAAGTTTAGAGAGACCAGAGGGATCAGTGTTTGATTAGAACAAAGACTGGGTAGGCGAAAATGTACGTCAGTAAGGGTAAAAATTGAGATGCTTAAGGTCAATGGTTCTTTCAAGCCATTTTATGTCAGACTCTTGATTGATTGCTCTTCACTACTTTTTCATGGACTGTATAATTCCTCTTAATCATGCTTTGTGAGATAATTTTGTGTAGATTTTAATGCTAAATCCCAGAAAAATAATCTTATCAGAAAGAAGAAAAAAGTTTATTTTCTTAATTATAGTATTATAGCTGTACTGAAGCATTTTGCTTTTGTGTATTTGTGTTCATGTTTTATTCTATTTATTCTGTTAAATGTTTTGTAAATATCTCTATGAATTTCAAGGAACTTTCATTGCAACCTGCATTTTGTATGGTCTGCAGTGGTTAGGGCATGTCTGTTTAACATGTCTCTCAGATCTTCTGTGTCTGTTTTTCTGAATGTCCTACCAGTATTTTCTAACTTGGAGTTAACATTTCATTCTATGCGACTCATCTAGGAGGACAAATCAGAAGGGAGGAAATGAGTTTGTTTGCCTCAGTAGCGTTTTTGGAAACTTGTGGGAGAATAGGGGGAGGGGGGAATCAAATCAAATTTGTTTTTGCCAACAGTTGGACGGATTGTGTCACTGGTTGCCTTCCTTCTGGGCAGCTGGGTCTTAAATAGGATACGAAGGTCAAGGTCATGGCGCGACACACACCACAGGTTCGCCAAGATTTGTTGAAGTTACTCAAAAGCTTAAGTGTTAAGAATTTCCACCTTGTGTTCAATCTCAGAAAATTACTGACAAGACACTTTCAAGGGCATTAAGTGCACAGTATTAAAAACAAAGGAATATTCTTCATGCCACAGAGTTGCTTTCCATGAAAGCAGTTGGCAACTTTCATCTCCACAAGTTTTGTGGCTGTACATTTTAATCAAATAGAATTTGTATACCTTTATTGATTTTGATGGTAGTGCTAAGTACAGTGCTATGATATCATCTCTGTATGGTTTTTGCCATCTGTTTAGGAAAATAGGATTACACTTGTCCATCAATTTGATCAGCTGTTTCTTTCTGTTGCTGCATTTCATAAAACACAAAAATACATTGTATGTATCTTCATTGGTTGCATAGCTAGAAACTATGTAGGGTGGAATAGGGGTGTTAATGTTTGTGTTTTACAGAAGTGTTGTAATGGTAACTAATTTTTCTGGTTAGCTCTGCAATATTTTTATGATGAAAGTAAAAAAAAAATCAAGTGTGTTTGCATTGCAACCATTAGTGTATACTGTGTGCGACTATATTATAATTTATTTTCAGTCATTGGAGATTTGTTGATTGTATAATGAATGAGCAGTCTTCAGGTAGGAAGATTTTTCTTTCAGACTGTGTTTAGCCAAAGAAATGTAAAAGCTAAGAAAAAAATATTAAAATCTCAAAAGCCAATAAACATGCATGCTCTCATGTTCTATTTATCATGATATACTGGTATATTGGGGTTTCTCATTATTTGTTTTGGTGCACTAACTTATTTCTATGATATTATTGTGCAACATGCCATTTTCTACTTATTATTTTACTTGGTAATGCTGGTGTGAGAATATTGTAGGAAAGGAATAACACTATCCTACCAAAAACAAAAACAAAAATGTATTTGGTATGCCATACCTATAAGATTACCATTAGCTTGTCATTGAGTGTGTTTACTTTTCTGTTCTTTGCTGTTTTGGGCATGCTTCGTTGTTGCAGGATAAAGTCATAACTCTGAAAAGAGCGTACAAAAAAAATCTATTTTGCTTGGCTTATGATGATTTTAATGTTTTAGAAATCTGCCTTTATGCCAATTACATATTAGACAGTGGAGTTGAAATAGTGCCAACAACAAGGCTGTTTCAATTCTGTTTTTGTTCTTTGTGAAATTGGCATAAGTTTTATTTAAGTTCCTGAATTTTGTTGTGTCATGGTTGTGTTCAACTTACACTTTCTTCAAAGTGAAAAGTGCTTATTTTATGAGCTGAGCAAAATGCAAAGCCAAAAGAAAACAAAAAAATAAACCTGTGAGAACTAGTTACGTCATGCATGTCGATGAACGGAATACAAAGAATGCAAGGTATAAGATCTAATGTATCGTGAGAATGTGATAAGTGGTGATAAGTTCCTGCTGCGCTGTCAGACAGGCTTGTGAATAACACCTGAACACAACCACTGGTGTTTCTTGGTGCATTGCTGTTCACACTTTGTGTGATTATCTTGTATTTTTGCTCATCGACTATGAACTTTGAGAGCTCTTTTTGAGTTCATTCATCCAGTATTTTTTACAAAGAGGAAATTTATTTCCTGGTAAGACTCTGGAATTATAACTTCATTGTCTGTCACATTTAGCACTTAGGTTTGGATCACCAAGATGAGATTTCAATGTAACTTTTGAAATTATTTTCATGTATCTGGGTAAATTTTGTCAGACTTGCTTAATTTAATTAACTCTATGCAATAAAGGTTTTAGTGTTGTACCTCATTTTAGGTGTTAGTATGTCTGTAATACTTAGCAAAGTAAACATTTAGAAAACAATAGTTCAAGATGACACCTAGAACCTGGTGACATATGCCACCACTGCTCTTTGAATTGAATTCTATTATAGTATAATTTTTCAAACAAAGAAACAAACTCTAATGTCCTTTTTGAGCTGTTCTGTTAGGCCTACGTTGTTTCCTTTCACCCTTGTGTTTACTTCAAAACCTGGCTGGGTATGAACAGTATGTACCATGTCTTATGGGAGGTACTAGAGAACATCACTGTCGTCATAAGAGGAGGGTGCCCTTTGCCCCTCTCTCATACTGTCATAGTGAGCATTGATATTTCAACATTATACTGTATTATTGTTAATAAGGAACTTTGGCACAGTTATCTCCAGTTTGTGGCAACTTTATAGGCACATGATCCACCCACTCCTATATCAGCCTGTATTTTTTTTTCTTCTGGCATAAGCGAAATTTGTGTAAACAGAATTTTTGATGAAACATTGCCAAAATGATTCAGATGTGTCTGCATATTGACATTCTTGTATTTGTGAACCTGGATTTGTGTTGTACACTATATGCAAATACATTTATTTTTATATTCAAAGCCTCATCTCTTTTTGTACCAAGTCCCAATCTACATTATTCGTGATGGTTTGTTGATTATATAAATAATCTCCTGTCAGAAGAATAAGTACTATTGTTGTTTTTTATTTTAAACTTTTTCTGAGGATACAGTTGACACATCAAAAGACACAAATTCTCTTCTCTTTCTGCAACTCCACTATTAGCATTACAGGGCTCAATCAAAACTCAAGCAAGATTTTAAGATCTAGGCAGGTCACAACACAAAAGACTACAATTTATTTTTGTTTGTTTTCTTCTAGGAGGGTGCCAATCACTCGCGAGCTGTTCTGATCTGAGCTCCAGCAGCCTCAGTTCGGCAAGTCGCTGTTCGCCTCCACAGTCCCCTTCACCCCCGTTTTCTTCTGACAATGTTCTAGTTTTCCCCAGCGATTCTGCCTAGCAGCTGCCCATACTGTTGCGCGTAGTTGGGAGAGAGAAATTGCCACACGGTGGTTGAGTAACCTTGGAGGAAGTACATCACTTAATAAATATCTTTTTAGGACAGTTAGGAGCAGAATTGTTTATCTATACTAAACTTTTGAGGATCCCAATGATCCATACAATCACTTTATTTTATGCTATAGTACCTGGGTTGAGAACACAACCATCTCAAAATTTTAGTAAGGTCAATGGTAGTTATTTTTTATATGATACGTGCAATGCACCAAAGTAGTTTAAAATTTTAAAAAAAAAGAAACATTATTTGCTTTAGAAGGTATTTTCCTCATAGTTGATGGGGTCACTTTTCTTAACTAGTGTTTTCCTCTTTTTGTTGGATTTGAAAATGCCTTATGTCAAATGAAGTATTACAGAATTATTTTGGATGACTTCTTAATACTCCCTTTATAAATATGTGGGCTTCTTCCCAATCTGTTTTTATACAAGATGTTATTGAATATTTTTTATTGTTTGAGAAAACTGATATCTCTTCAATTGGAAATGATTGCATTGTTGAGCAGTTATATAGTTTGAATTATTTTTTTTATCATAGTCTCATGAGTGGTCTCGCAGAGAATTGATCAGGATAAGAGATCCAACATAGTCCAACTCAGGAAGCAGTTGAAGCAGTTTTGAAGCACTGAGAAAGATTAACTTTGCTCTTATAACTGGGTCATGATCGGTTGTAGAGTTTCACAGGGTTATAAAGCCATAGTTATTGACTACAGTCAAGAGAGGGAAATCTTTCTTTGCTGTAGTTTTTGTGGCATGGACTGAAAGTGGTGTGGATGTGTGACTCTACAGTATAAATTTGCCTGCGCACATTCAGGGATGCTTAATGTTGCCAAGTTTATGAATATTTGTCTTAATTTCAAGTAATTTCTTGATTAATTACTGTGCGGAGAGTGATATGGGTTGTGAAGTACTTGATTCAAACCCCCAGTCTTAGAAATAGCCCGTGGATTTGTTGAGAAAATATTTGTTGATATTGCTACTGTTACTTAGCCAGAAGTGTATTTATTATGCATTTTGTTTGTCTTTTTTGATAATTTTGCAGTCAGTTTTGTGTGTGAAAATAACAAAGCTAGAGTTATCTTACTTGTATGATGTAAGTTGTCTGCAGTGTGTAGATATTCAAGAAGGTTACCAGCATTCAGTATTTTGAAAGAAACTAAATGATGCAGTCACATGACCCACATGTATGGATTGGCAAAAGTACCTTTAAATAGAATTCCTGTACACATCTAGTGAAATTCCTTTGGAGATGTCGACCGGCTGTGGTGACGTTTATCTTTACTGTTGGATGCCCTATTGCGATTTCTGTAGCAGTGTAAGTATGTGTAAGTTTTCCTTGTATTTAATTTTTAGTAACGGTTGGGTCAAGTTCTTCAATTTTAAAGCTTTAACGTACTTTCTGCTCATACGATTTCATTTCATCTCTAAAGACTGTGAGAGTCACTTTGGCTCAAAATGGATTTCGTCACATCTTGACTTATTCCCATGCAATCAAATTTTTTGTTAATAAATAAAAGTAGAATCCTGAATGAGTAGTTACAGCCCCGCTAATGTGCACCCTTCAATTTTTTAAAAATATTTGAGTCCTAATTGTATAAGACAGCATAAATTTTCTTCTATATCAACGTTCCTGTTTGCAAATCTTCAATGGAAACTCCAGTTCTGGAGCATACCCAATTCTGTGTCACACCCTTTTTGACCTCATAATGGGTAGGAGGGTGTGACTTAGAAGGACTACAGAAAGTTACTGAGGCAGTCACAAATGTGATCACATGTGAGGGGAGAATGGATAATTCAATTCACATATGAATCTAGTAAAACAGTATGTAGTTTGAGTGATGAGATGGTAAGTCATAGTAGTGCAGTGATTATGTTATTAAACTTGAAAATATTGTTACGACAAAGGCTTAGGTATGATCATTCTAAGAGATAATTATCTTTAAACATGCATGCGCTGTCTGTAACAACTGCATTATTGTAAACAAGACCTTCTCATGACCTCCTCTTGAAAATCCCACATCTGACGAGACAAATAGAAGCAGACTTAATAATTTTGATACAACATTATCTTTGTTGGAAATCCATGTGCTCCAATAAGTGGGGCATACCCATTTATGACATGATTTGAAATAAATGTTATTCATGCATGAAATATTTTTATTTATTACCTACAACTACTACTCTGTTAACAAAAGTCATTACCAGAAGGACATTACAAAACAAGGACTCCTTCTGACACACTCATTTAAATCACAGAACCAGGACTGGCGACCAATCACAAAAATTCAACTCTCGACACACCTCTTCCATTTACCTTGAAAACGTTATTGAAGGTTGGGACACATTTGTAAGTGGATTTTTTGGAACGCAGCTTGAATAAATCAGCAAATGTGTAAAAATACACTTTATCAAAGGCAAATCAGACAAAACTTTGGTAATTTGAAATAAATATTTCATACCTTAGCCCAAACACTGTTATTACAGATAGTTGACACAGGTAGGTAGGTAGATAAAGCTTGAAAATAAATTTTAGAAGCATTTATTGGATATAACTGGCCAGAAAGCTACTTTAGTCTCAGTCTTCACTGATAAGTGTATCCTTATCCAATAACTGTCAACAATATCATTAGAAAAAGTGAAAATTAGGAGGTGGAATTAGAGTTAGAGGAATGTCTTACAGTGGTTTAACTTACACAGTTCAAAGAATCCTGGTAAATCATTATTAGTTCTGAAAACAAGTAACAAGCATTCGCACTCACACACCGACAGGCTCACACAAAAAAGGTCCAATCTCTGGTCCAATGATGCCATAGTCTTTCACAGCTTCTTTAGTATGCATATTTATTTACAGGGTAGAACAAACTCACTTCTCACTGAACGAACATCACAAAACGGATGGTACTAGGAGTTTCAAGAGATCACAAATTAATAATCCAATCTGCACACAGTGGCGCCCAAATGGGGTTCACACAGCAGCACCTGCTGCAGCGAGAATTTTGAAAGGATGGGAGAAAAAGATAAGGGAAAGAGAAAGATAGTAGGAAAAGGGTCTGAATGGGGAAATCAGGTAGGTAAATATGTCACAAGGAAGAGAGGGAAGATCATTTGCTGTTTCTAGTTTCAAGTTAGGGGTTCCAACATATTGTGACCAAAATTGCTTGGGTGCCACTGATTGCTCATACTTTCAAAACATCCACATTCACATCTAAAATGGATACAGGTATGAAAATAAAGCCTAAATCCAATATGGGGGAAGGACTCTACTACTGAAAATAGACAGACAATCCAGAAGCAATCAGCTAAATGGTTGTATGACAAATGATTGTCAGATAATGATAAGGTGTCTTCAATGCGGGCAAATTAGAATTCTAAGACATTAACAATGTGTCTTGATTTACGTAGGTAACTAGCACCGATTTAATTAGCCAATCTTCAAACTAATGCGACTAACACCCTAATAACTTAACATTAGGTTTAATAAAGCTACTTGCTATCAACATCACAATTTTTTTTTTAACCATTACAAAAATGATTATGTGTGTACTTTTATACCAACAAGAAAGAGTTAAGAGGAAAGAAAAAGAGAATTAATGACAGCAAAAATAAAACTGTTGACTAGAAAACTAGGGTCTTATTTGATATCACTGATTACGTAGATAATTTTCTTTTTAAAATATTAATTCTAGTAAAGAGATCCTTTATCTTCCGGATATAAAAAGTAAATAGCAACAGGACCTAGATGTGTCTGCACTGTTTCTGTATGACGTATAAGTTGTGTTGCTGCCAGACCATACATGAGGCATGGTATACCTGGAATGAAAGCAGAAGCTTCAGTATTCATGAATTACAGCAATGTACAGCAGATCAGAGTAACTTTAACTAGGTTGATTACTCACAAAGGTTTGCAATCTTAATTATTCTCATAAAAAGATTTTCCAAGGAAAGGTCCTGAATGGGTCGCCTCGAACAATGATACTTGATATAGGGATAACAACCTGTGCGTAAAATATGATAATTTGATTTGCCTACAGTCCAATTAAAATGTGAAAGACCCCATTGATCATCCTGAACACTTTTGTATTTAACGAAATATGATGTCCAAGGAGGCTCATTGCATTGTTGTAGATAGCAAGTGAGTACTTCTGATGCACGTGGCTTATCGCATTTAGAGTGGACATGATGAGTTAATCGATGCGAGGAAAGCCTTATAATAAGTGCTTTCCCAGGTGTGGACGACAGCAACATTCTGCCTGGATGGACAAAGACATGGGTATGTTATTACATTTGACAACAGTGACTGGTACGGCAGATAAAAACAACCAATACACAGACATAAAATTAAAAAGTTTAAAAGACAGAGTAAAGTGATGCGACACTGATTGATTGTTTTGAATAAGCTACATACCGAAAATAAATCAAGAGGAGTTATTTGGTATGACATTGAAGTCCGAAAACATGACAGCATTCCAGTCGTATCAGGAGTTCATCAAACTGCCACGCATGGCCAAATGTAGTACGTCATAGAGGCGTTAGATACACAAGCGACGAGCAAAATTAAAAGGTTTTCATGTTAAAAAAAAGGAATGGGCATCTTTCACTTGGGCACAACCAGACTAGGGAGGACGTTTGTGTACAACAGAGTGTACGTAAAGTGACTGTTGACTCTAAGCAGAAGCATTAGCAGCAGGACAACTTTAAACGCAGGCTGCTGGGCCAAATGAAGTGACAATAACATTATTATTACGGTCAATAAGGCAGACAAGAAATAATTTCGAAACAAGTGTCTTGTCCAGGCTAGTCCAGGCACAGACAGGCCATAAGCGCCTTGCAGACTAGAAGTAAACAACCTTGTTTTCTTCCTTTATTCTCCTTTTCATCTCCTCCCACCTGTTGGCGGAAGTTGATACAGGTTATGTCGTCCAAAACACAAGATAAATCTTAGATTTGTCTATCCACCTTGATACAGAGTCTTGGACGACCACAGTCAAGTTTTCGAGAACGGAGCGCGAATTATGTTTGGAGAGGGACATAAAAGCTGAAACCCCGGAGTAAACTGTAGCTAGGTCCTAGTGACAGGTGAATATTCAGGTGCGCTCGTAGCTCGTAGGTGGGGGAACAAGTGTCAGAAAAAAGAAAATAAACAACTACGTCATGTCCGGTGTCTGTATGTGTATGTACAGTGAACGTACTCGATGTATTTATTGAGCTAATTTGAATGTTAGTGAATGTTAGGAACCGCTTCGTGAGTGGATTGCGAATACATATGAAGTGGAGAATGTGAACAGCTACGTTGGAGGTGAGTACCCGAGCGGCAGATGTGGGGCGGGTGCGAGCTTGGGCCGTTGTAGGCCTACAACAAGACCAGGCAGGAGAGCCTGGGTTTTCTTATGTACCTAAAGGTTAGGTTACTCGTCGACCCACATTTTACAGCTTAATTTGTATCTTGATTTTGAGCCACTTTGGCACCGTACTTTCTTCTCACAGGTGGGAGATTATGAACAGCAAATTAGACAGCAAGTGCTGATATTTGCTGTGCTCTGGAATGTTGCTCAATTTCTGTTCAAGTGCCTTACTTATCATCACCTGTTGATCAATTCTAATTTAAATTACTATTTGAAAATTTTAGAGTGTGTTTAGATGATGGCCTCATGTATGGAACTCTCCGATAGTTTTCCCTTGGCTTCATTGATCTTCAGAGGTCTTAGAAGTAAATTTAAAAGTCGTATTAGTTCATATCATGCCTAATGCATTGTTTACCATTTATTTTGAGTCACAACTATCAATGTAACGGTTCAGTAAATTTGGAGCCGCTCCATGCACAATCCGACTTTCTATTTGTATCAACAATGCATTGTAGACCAGCAACCCAATATCATAAATTCTGTAAGAAAGTGTTTCAACTTCACACCATGCGATTGACTTTTGCTTGTCGAGTATTTTAGTTGTGATCCTAGCTGCTCATTATTGGTGTTGATAGTAGCTTATATGTTGGGCTTAATTTTTTTTCAAACTTGAATGTACTATTTTTGTTTTGCTAGCAATGTTGATTGCATTTGTTTGCTGTTGTAGATGCTGTAGTGTTTTGCATGGAACTGCTGCAAAGGGTATAATGCCCTTTTAAGGATTTTCCACAAAATTGCTGCCAATCCAAATCCTTCAAAATGGACAAGCATGATGTTCGTTTTGCACCGTTCTCTTCAGGTAAGTCCTGCCTCAGAACAATTCTGAACAAGATGGCATGTAGAGAAGCACAGCTCTGTTACCACCAGTTCTGTCCCTTACCTACCCCAACTTTTCATCGGGGAATGCAGACAACTTTCTTTTGAGTCAGAAACAAAGTTTTGTGTGTGTCAGATCCTCCATTCCATTCAGGAAGCCACATCATGACCTGGTGGGGAACCGAGGACAGAAGGGGAGAGGGATTGGGGGGCAGAGGGGGAGGGGGCTGAAGCCTTTAAAGAAATGTAGGCCGGGTAGGGAAGGCAAGGCAAGACAAAAGAACAGGGAGATAAGCGGAGGGAAGAACTCGGCGCGGATGAGGGGCGATGGGGAGGCGGCGGGAAGCGGATAATGGGGCGGGATAAAAATTTGAGCAGCGCGTCTTGAAGGATTGGGAAGCAAGGAGCAGGAGTAGTGGGGGAAGGGAAGGAAGCAACCTGGCAAAACACGGCGTGGGGTGGGGGCGGCCCGGCGACGGGCCACGCAGTGCGCGGCAGCGCGGCCACCCCCTCGGCGCCCCCAACCCCCAGGCCGTGGGGCGTAGCGGCGTAGCGGGGCGTGGGTCTGCCCGTACGGGCCGTGCTGCGGGGGTGGGGGTTGCTGGGCTGGGCTGGGCTGGCTGGTCCTAGGACTCTCACGGGCAGGGCCGCGGGCCGCAGGGCGCTCTGGTCGCAGTAGCCTGCAGTCCTTGCGGAGCTGAGCCGGTTGGGCGGAGGCCAGGGCAGGCCAGGGCAGGGCCCCCTCAGCGCCACAGGCCGAGCCACAGGCCGAGCCGCAGGCCGAGCCGCAGGCCCCGAGCGCCTAGCGTGGAGCGCGGAGCCTCGGAGCCGCGGAGCACACCCTGGGTCCGCAGTGCGCATCCGCAGCCCCGGCGCCGGCCTCGCGAACCAGCACGGACCCCGCCCTGGACGCCCTGGACTAGGTGAGCAGCACGCTGGCGCGCCAGTGCCGCCGCATCGTCATCGCCAAAACTGGGAAGCTGGAGGTTGGGCATGGCCGGCATGGCCTGCCACCGCACAGGTGGTCCCGCCACCAGTGTCCGCCAGGCGCCACCGCCGACGACGACGTCTCGCTCGCGGAAGTGTGGGCCGCGTTGCTCCTGACCTAGACAAACCATTCGGGCCTTTTCCCAGAGCTTCTGGCGTTGCTTGAACGAGAGCCGCAAGTGCGCACCAGGTCCTCGACGGCCTCCCCGACACCCTCCCCGACGGCCTCCCCGACGCCACCCCACCCCCCACCCAAGAAGGGCAGTGGTCAATGTTTACGGGCCAGGAGCTGCTGTACCAATCAGAGAGCGCGATTCAGTCATCCACCCGATTGGGTCTCCAATGAACCGACCATTGTCAGTCACAGAGTTTGCTCAGCCGGGCTGGGATCACAGTAGAGGAAAATAAACCTCAGAACATTCAACTTTTGGTCGGCGTTCCGTTTTTATTAAAGACGCGCCTTTTCTTTTTTGATTATTCTTTTCGGTACGTCGACTTTGTCCAACTTTGTGGGGGAACGTAAACTGGCGAGCTTGCTGGTTTGGGGTGCACGTATGACCCCTCGCTTGACCATGTTTTCCCCGGGAAAAGCGACCGGCAAATCGGTTTCCTCCCCCCCCCCTCCCCCGCTGTAAATGGAACAATGTGTACTAGAGTGTAGCAGGCGTAGCACCCCCGTAGCAGGGTGTACCGCGGGGGACAAAGCACCCCAACAATGGCCTGCCAGCCCTGTCTGCCCGGCGGCCGCGCGCTCCATTGACGCTAATGACACCTGTTAGCCCGGAGCTCGAGTCTGTTGGGCCAATTATTTGGCGGGGCCAGTGGCGCTCGGGGGGGGGGGGGGGGGCAGTGGAGGACGAAGTGGAGAGAAGCGGACAGAGCCGAGGTAAACTGGAGCGAAGCGCACAGGGCCGAAGTGTAGTGAAGCAGAGGTGCCATAAAGCAGCCGAATTTCGGAAAAGTTGAACGCTTGGATCGCTTTGTCTTTTGGCAGTGTTCGGCACACTGGTCGATTGGGACTGCCTGGCGCGCTCGCGCCTGCCCTCACCAAATTTAGACGCGCGCCGGAACGCCGGGACGGGCTAGGATGGGACGGGAAGATAAGTTTGGAAGGGCGGAACTGTCGGGGCGCGTCTGCTTTGCTTGCTCGCCCCATTTTCATACGACCTGCCCCATGTTCGTCTCTCTGACACTGACGAGGCGTCCCGCACGGGTGTGAGAGAGACAGAGTGCCAGTGCTCGAGTGTGACCTCCACCAATGGATTCCTCGTTCGGAGAGCAATCCATTGGTGGGGTCACACGTTCGGTTCGAGTCCCATTTGGCGACTCAGGACCTCAAAAACGCGTCGAGAGTTTTGACCGCCTCCACCGGTCTTCTGGTCCACTGTGTGCGGGCTGCCTAGTCGGGCGATTCGGGAAGCGGGCTTGGCAGTGCGGTGGCAGCCTCCGCGGTGTTTCCATTGGTCAAGCGCTCCTCCCCCACCCCTTCCTTAATTTGCAAACCAATGAGCAGTGTGCCGCCATGCACGCGCCCACGCGCTTGATTAGCATGGACAAGGTGTGCGTGTGTGTGTGTGTGTGTGCGCTTGTGTCCACACCGGCTGCTCGTCCTCCCTTTGCGGTTGGTTCTTGAACGGACCGCTGCGCGGCGCCCCCGGCGGTCTCGGACGCAGGGGAGGGAAAGGAGGGGGTGGGGCGGCCGAGGCCGGCCGAGGCCCGCTTGATTCGACCAAATAATTAATTCCCCCCGATTTCCTTGAAAGTTTCCTCGTCGATGGAATCGCTCTTCCTTTTTTTGCGGTGTGGCGGAGCGGCGTGGGGACCGCAGAGCCGTGCGTCTGCCCGCGCACAGTGGGCCAGAGGACCGGCCAAAACTTTAGACGCGTTTTGAGCTCCAGGGTCGCGAAATGGGACTCGAACCGAACGTGTGACCCCACCAATGGATTGCTCTCCGAACGAGGAATCCATTGGTGGGGTCACACGTTCGGTTCGAGTCCCATTTCGCGACTCAAGCTCAAAACGCGTCTGGAGTTTTGGCCGCCTCCACCGGTCGTCTGGCCCACTGCGGGCCGCTCTGCGGGCCTCCCTGGGCCTCTATGGATAGCGGTGACCTCAGCAGTGACCCTGCGAAGCCGCTCGCCTCAGCGTGCCAGCCGCACCGTGGCCACACCGTCAGCACACTGCGAAGCGATCGGTGTTCGACACAGTTTCGCGCTCAAGTCTCCACCAAGTTTTAACGGGGGGAAAGAAAAGGCAAATTGGAATAAAGAGGAGAACAGTGCGGAACTTGGTTCCGGCTTGTCGATGCCAACACTCTAAATGTAGGGTGCCCAGTAACTGGGCGCCTTTGTCGCCCGCCCCACTTTTTAGGGTGCCAAATGTCGCCCAGTTTCTGGGCACCTTTGTCGCCCAGTCTCGAGGTGGACAAACCATTAAGGAACCTGCCTCCACCCATGGACCAGCAGCGACTGAGGTGCCAAAGGTGCCCAGAATCTAGGCACCTCAGTCGCCCAGGAACTAGACACCTGAACATGTTCTACCCTGGGAGAGGGCCGGTTACTCTATGATTTGTCCACCCCGAGACTGGGCGACAAAGGTGCCCAGAAACTGGGCGACATTTGGCACCCTAAAAAGTGGGGCGGGCGACAAAGGCGCCCAGTTACTGGGCACCCTACATTTAGA